CTGAGTGAGGCGTAAGTGACACATATCACAACAGGGTGAAATGAGAACACTTGCTACACCGTGGCAAATAGAAGGATTCCTCGGGCAACTATGGCAGCAGGGGCATTCAACGGGTTGAGAGATCCTTCAGTGCTTGGATGTGAATCTGACTTAGTAGGTGGTTTATAAGCAAAAACCCATATATAAACAAGTGGGGATATTCAATATTGTAGTCCATTTACCAAGTGGGATGCACCCCCCAGCTACGGAAGGCTAGTTCCACCCGTACGTGCTCATCTATCAGGTGCGGACGAGATGGCGCTGCCGTCAGTGGCCTGCGTGCAAGAAGAAAAGCCAGTGCAACACCGGGCATGCGGAGGCGGCGGCAGCAGCAGGAGCAACAGCAGCAGCAGCAACATCAGCCGTAAAAGCAGAAGCGACAGCAAAGGCCAGGACAAAGGCCCAAACGGAACAGTGAAAAGGGACTTCCGTGTCGTAGAGGTGCCAAGAAACAGATGGAGCTGCAAACGAAACCAACCCTGGAGGAGCATGAAAGCGAACATAGCAAGGTTCCACCGTCAAACCGGTGAACAAAAAGCAGGATGTGTTTTGATCACGCGCAAATGAAAGGGTGTCGGCCAAGAACCAACCGGGCCGTCATTGTGACAGGCGCGGTGCACTATGGCCGCATGGCGGGCAAGCGGCGTGAATCCGCTCCTGGCTTTTGCAGGTGCGCCTGAAAAAGGGGCGAAGAGGACTTGCATGCCAGAGCCGCGCAGGTTCATGTGCAGCGCATGCAACCAGAGGGCATCCGGATCCCATCTACTCATGCTGCAGGAGCACGCTTGCAAGGCGGCAAGGGTAGTGGCTGCAGCCTGGGGATCAAACTCCGCAAAATCGATCTGCGGAGCAGCGTTCGGCGGTCCTCCACTTCTTCATGTTTGGAGTCCCCGCGTCCCCGCCCAAACTTGGACGCTTCTTGGTGGGCACGCCCTGCAAGCCGCCACTGGCTTGGGTGACCTTGTCCCAAGATTCCTAAGAGGTCAGCAGGGACTTCAGATCGTCCAATTTTAGGCAACTTGATGAAGTCAACGTCAAAGGTTGGAGTCTTCTCAGCGTCGACGCCAGTGATCAACACAGCAGGCAAATTCCGATCCAACTTGTAGTCCAACAGTCTCACTTCTGCGCAATACTTCTCAAAGTAGCCGTGAACTCTTTGTTCTGTGGGTCTTCAACAGCTGTCTCCACTTTCTTGCCATTTCCTGCATCTTCCATGAACGCTGCTGGCCCTGCACAATCGTATTACCCGTACATCTTTCACTGAGTCGTTGTCACCCATGCCTCTGCCGTTTTTAACCCACCATGTTGTAATGGTTCGAGCTGACTCTTCAACTTTCGGCAGCCGTCTAATTTGTCAATCGTCTGCAAGCACGCGTGTGTCAAGATTGTTGTCTTTACGTTGCCGTTTCGTTCCTTCAAAATTTTGTTTCGGTTTGCAGAGAGCTTGGTCGAACCATTTATGCATCGACTTCTTTTTTGCTACGCCCTGCCCCCCCTCCTGCAAAGTAAATCTACAAGTATATGAGTGCATCATATACTGCATTTAAGTGCTTCTGCCCCAAAAAAAATGCGTATGCCATTAAAAACATCGGAACCCTCTGGAACTTCACAAAGCATCTGCACCCGAATTTTCCGGAACCTTACCGAGTACCTGCACCGGAACCCTGCGCAACCTCACCGGCTATCTGCACTGAAACCCTCTGCAACCTCACCAGGTCTGCACCGGAACCCTCCAGAACCTCACCAGGTATCTGCACCGGAACCCTCCGTAACCTCAACAGGTATCTGCACCGGAACCCTCCGGAACCCTCCAGAACCTTGCCCGGAACCTGGTGTTGAAGCTGCACCGGGCTGCACCGGATCGCACCAGAGCTAATCTGGGCTAAAGACCCCATAGCAAAGTTTTGCTGTTGGGGAAAAATTGAAGACGATTGACTATATGGATATTGTGGGCGTGTCCGACTTGGATATGATCGTGGGCTTATCAAAAATTTGGAATAACACCAAGGAATATATTAGGAGGATACATATATTAGGGGAATAATAGGGACGTAAATGTAGATACAAACAGAACAACATGGATTTGACATGGATTTGACTGAAGCCATCTGGAGCCACAAAAAGGCTGATCTGAAGCCGTCTGCCCTGGTGATGTTCATCCCCAAAAGATCATGGTTAGTGGGTCAGCTGCACCATCCGAAAACGTCTCAAAAAGTGTGAAGAAATGTAAATCAAAGATAGATAGATAGATATTAAGCTCTGGCAACCTGATGTACCTTGAGTAGCTTAATAAATATCTATCTATCTGTCTTTCTATCTATCTGTCTACCTACCTACCTACCTATCTATCGATCTATTGATCTATCTATCTATCCATCTATGTATCCATCTCTGTATCCATCTATGTATCCATCCATCTATCTATCTATCTAGCTAGCTAGCTATCTATCTATCTATCCATCCATCTATCTATCCATCCATCTATCCATCTATAATCATACATATATATATATATATACATATCATATATATATACACACACATAGTATATATAGTGTATTCCCTATTACGACTTCCCTTATAACAACGTCCGAAGCTTGGGAATCACCTGTGTTCTTCTCTGCAGAGTCACTTCACCGGATCCTTCCACAGAGGGTCATCCTTGAAATGCTCCTCAAAGGTCCGGTAGAAATAGTTGAACACCTCCTGGGCCCACCGGGGGCCACTGGGGGGGAAAAGCTGGTGCTTCAAAAATGGGAGGAAAGCTGCAAAGAGGGAAGGGAAGCTGCGAAAAACGCGAATGACGTGGGGATTCCTTGTCGAAATTCAGCTGCAAAACCTAGCCCTAGCCTTGCGGGTCTATGGGAACCATCCCAGAAGCCAGTCTCCCAATTCCGGGAAACTGCCGAGGCCTGAAAGATGTAGGTCGCTCTTGGCATGTGGAAATCAGAGGTGACCTGAAAGCAATTGTGAATGATCTTGGATGATGTTGGATGGGGACAGCTCAATCGCATTTTTTTGGTTTTTCTCTCCCAATGGCTTTAAGGTGCAATATGGCCTTGTCTGCAAACCCATCAAATATTACCATGAAGAAAAGGGAAATTATGCTGATTCAATCTGATTCACCATTAAGTTTGCTGGTTTTCCATGGATGCTTGGATGGTGCAGCCCATTGGAGATTCCCAGTTTGACAAGGTCCCAGATGGTAGGGTATCCCGTTTGGAATTGATTATCATTATCTGCAATGCCTAACAGTTAGACTACTAACCCCCAACAAATCAACCAATCTCTTGAGTCTCTTGAGTGGTATGTCATCATCTGTCAGCAGTCTGGGTCCTGGACGATATAGAAATGCCCGGTCCCTTTGGGTATCCATCGCAAGGCGTACCACGCATTCTCTGCCGTTGTTTCCGCCTGTGACTCCTGGATGATCACTTCCTAAGGCTCCAAAGGCTGAGCAGCTTGAGTCATGTTTCCATCATATTCCCTGGTAACCGGATCCCATAGTGACGCAAACAAACTGTTTTTCATGGAAGAAGCCCATAAACAAATCTTCCTTGTTACACAAGATGTACCAAGCGTGGCTGGAGTTGCATCCTGCATTCTGACATTGAAGTATGACGTTTGAAGGAAATGTCCAACCGAACCTAGAGAGTGTGAAGACTTTGGCCCACCTTTTTTCAAACGCAGAAAAATCGATCGAGAACACCAAGGACATAAAATTGACCTGGCAGTGTTTTACTGATGTCTTCGGGTCTACGGACCTCAAGAATATGTAACCCCCAAACCCAACGCTTTGCAAAAAGAAGGAGAAGAACATTTGGATTTGGAACGAGTGCCATTGCCACTACTCCCACCACCATCTTCTAACTTCTACTCCCATCTTTAAGGCGCCATATTTTTACATTTGCCCAAGCCGCTTGTGGTATTCCGGCGTTCACCAGAACCTTCCGCATTTCAAAGGCTTCGGTCCGCCCCACGCCCGCGGGATCTCCACCCGTGACGATGATTCGGGAGACTTTCCCTTCTTTCAGCAGATCCTTGGCCTTCAGCGCACGATCCAACAGGACCTGCGGTGGCTTCCCATCTGGTCTCAGAGATTGGCCCAGCACCACAGCCACGCCTGGTTTCAAAAAAGGAGGAACAAAAAAAAGAAAAACATGAGATTCCCGGAAAAATCCCTGCAGTGTTGAAATATTTTGAAATTCTCAGCGGTTTTGGAGGACTTCAAATTGCCCAAATGGTCGATGAACAAAAAAGATGTGAGAAAAACAGGTGAAAAAGTCGCCTTGACATGCTTTCATATGTGTTTATCTAAGACACCTTGGGTGGATCCAGGTTGAATGTTGGACATCCAGGGGGGGATGCGATTTTGGGCGTCCCAATCCATGTTGGTTCTCCTGGAGCGCTCCAAGAAGCTGCGGCTGCCAACCCAAGCTGTACCCGAGGCGACAGAAGCTGAGGCCAAACAGGTGCTGGTGGCCAAGAAGTAGCTGATCAACAGCAACAAGGAGCGTGGAATGCACAGTCGAGGACATGGATTTACGACCATTCCACTGATGGCTTCAAGGGAATGTTGGTTTTTAGGGTCTTAAACCATCTTGAACCATCATCCTGCAGGTTTGCCTGTCGACGTAACCAAGCATTCAAGTCAACGCAAAAAAAAATGGAGGCAGGTCAACCAAGAAAAAATTGACGGTGGTCGAAGCCCCCATTCCTCCCAACAGTTGGATGCCTTCAAATGAAAGTGCAATGTAATAACACCCTTATAATGGATACATTATAATATTACCAATACATAGTTGATTTGAAATTAAATGGCTATTGAAAATGGCCCCTTCAGTTCGTTGATTCACCTATTAAAGATGATGATTTTCCATGTTTTTTTATATGTTTACCAGGCCGAGTACCCCAAAAAAGGGATGTGCCATGACTGCCATGGCATAATTTCGGACGCGCACCGAGTGGTTGCGACTGTGAGCTCCATGCCTTGGAAGCAGCGCAGCGACATCACAACGACCATAGAAAAACCATCCAATATAAATTGGTTATATAATAATGGTGAATATATATATATGTGTAGACTGGTTGGTGGTTTCAACCCCTCTAAAAAAATATGTGTCCGTTACCCGGCCTGGTTATGACTAACATAGCCATGGAAAATGATGGCACATAGAAATAGATGGTTTACCGAACTTAAAATTGGTGATTTTCCATGGCGAACTGTTAAATAACCAGATGTTATATAATAATGGTGAATATATATATATACTGGTTGGTGGTTGACCTACCCCTCTGAAAAATATGAAAGTCAGTTGGGATGATGAAAATCCCCATATATGGAAAAATAAAAAATGTTCCAAGCCACCAACCAGATATATACTGTATATATATATATGGAAAATCACAACTTTTAGTAGGTAAGTCAACTGCAAATGGGCCATTTTCAATAATATGGCTAGAACAATGCCATAAACCACCCATGACTGGGAAGGGTAAACATACCACCTATAAAAATGGTGATGACTGGGGATAGTGCAGATGACATTATTTTACCAACATTAAATCGGTTAATCCTGGTGAACATACAGGGATTTATACTGGGATATGGAAACCGACAATAATGGGATGTTTATGAGGATTTTACCAACAACATCAATACCCTCCCGGTGTCAAAAAAAAAACGTGGCTGGGTAATCCCTGATCAACAGGTGTTTTTTATGGGAAAATCATCGAATTGCTGGTGGATTTTCCAGCAAGCCATAGTTGATAACCAAAGGTGGATTGAACATGGCTTTTTGAAAGTTTGCATGGCCTTTTTTGGGATCACATTTTGGAGATCTCAGTAAACTCAGTAAACCACATCACACGAGAGTGAAAACATAGCAGGCTATGAAATGTTGAGGGCATTTGTCAAAAGTCTCGATAAATGATCATACATTATATACACTTCACAGTTCGAGAACCTGAAACAGATCTATTTGGGAATGATTTCCCCAGAAAAAAAAAAGAAAAAAAGTCGCTGTGAGGTCACATATCCAAGCTGCATCGGAGGGAAGGGATTTCCGTGGCCATACTCCAAACGCTGATGACCACCGAAACGTCCCTGGGCTTTGGATTTGTCATATCACCGTGGCTACAACTTGGCTCAAAACGTTTGCAATTTACCCCAGAGGTAAACTAACACAAAGAGCCAAAAAAAAAATGGCCCTAATCGAAATAGATGGTGTTTACCTATTAATAGCATGGTGGATCTTTCCATGGTTTACCTATGAAAAATGGCGGATCTTTCCAGTTCGCTATGGTAAATTACCATGTCGGGTATGTGATCTTCCGTGGCTTTTGAAAACCCACTCCCCAATGGGATGATCAATCTCGAATCGGCCCACGAGGCCTCAGAATATCTAAGCACCATCATGAAAATATCACCATTTAAACTTTAACCCACCATTAAAGTTGGTTACACCATATTGAGCCATATTAAACCATATTTCATCCATATTAAGCCATATTAAACCACCATATTTCATCCATCTTAAGCCATAAACCACCATATTTTGTCCTCAAATTGGTTCTCCTGCCATTGGGCGATTTTCGTTCGCCTCATCGGTGTCCAAAATGGTGCGCATGGGCTCGTTCCAGCAGCAGCCCAGCTGATAGCCATCGTAGCCTGTTCCAACGGGGGCTAGGCCAGTGATCTGACGATGATGTTCCAACCATGGTTTAATGGTGCTTAAATGGTGGTTTCATAGGATTTTATGGTGACTTAATGGTGACTTAACGGTGGATATCATGGGAATGAGATTGAATGGATGATATCACCAACCATTCTTATCGCTGAGCCGCCCATCCCTAAAAAACCTAAGCGAAATCAAAACCCAAAAATAGGGTGGAACATGTTTTTTTTAAACAAATAGATGGTTTACCGAACTTAAAATTGGTGATTTTCCATGGCGAACTGTTAAATAACCAGATGTTATATAATAATGGTGAATATATATATATATACTGGTTGGTGGTTGACCTACCCCTCTGAAAAATGATGGACTGAGTATCAGCTGGGATGATGAAAATCCCAATGTATGGAAAGTCATAAAAATCATGTTCCAAAACACCAACCAGATAATTACTGTACACTAAATAGGGGTACAATAACGGTCACAACTAGGCTTTTGAACTTGCCAAAAAAAAAACTAGTGGATGATTGGTTCTTGACACATGTTTATTCACGTTCCAAACTATCATTTACTGTGAGGGTCGTCATGAAGTCGCTATAATCCCGCTAGACCGAGAAGGGTTTGTTCCATACCAAAGATATCCTAAGATTGGGTAGTAACATGTCAAAACTAGTGGCTGAGATTGGGTTGTAACATGTCAATACTGGGGCTTTTGATTGGAGTTGTCATTCGTGTTTCAACTGGGCTGTGCGAGGTTGAAATCGGGGCTGAATTGGGGGTTCTACGCGGTTGATGAGGGAGGTGATTCTCCCAGGAATCAGAAAACCATTGCCATACTGGGATGAGACCCCTGAAAAAGCCTCTGAAAATGACTGACTAAGTGTGCTAGTTATTCATGTAAACAATAGCTAAATCATTGACCTAAAAATGGGCCATGGTTTCATAGCAAGCTGTTCCCCTACTTTTTTACCCTCTGGTAAACGTTTACATAACTATGGAAAATCACCATGTTCAATGGGTAAATCCACTATAAATCACCATTTTCAATAGCTATTTTGACATAACCAGAGGGTAACTAACATGGATGTGTTCAAACCCACCAGAAATGTGGATCGTTTTCCCCCTGGTTTCCACATGGCCCCCTTCCACAACCGCCAAAAAGCTGTTGCAGGGGTGGAAGTTGAAGACGAAGAGAAGATCCCCACGTTCGAAGACGATGACCTACACGGAGTTGGGGGCGTCCTAAGTCATGGGAGTACCCCAATAGCTGGATGCTTTATAATCTTTATAGAGGCAGATCCTATGAAATATTTGGATGATTTGGGGCTACTCGCATGGGTATGAATTGCTAGGAAGCCCTTCTTATAAGGGCTTGTTGGTGGTTAACATGGAACTTCTGTGGCAGTTTCAGCATTTTGGGAGATCTGGATTCTGGATAAATCATATCATGATTCACTTGAAAACTTCGGCTATTCGAGAAGAGTTCCCATCCTAGCCATCATTCCAATTGCGACATGAGGTCGTTGTGACTTATGATGGATAAATTTCTATGGGATTGTGTTATCAGCAAAAATATATGCGTTTGGTCAATAGCTTTCCAGGAATACATGGAAACAACAAGCAAAAAAACTAAGATGGGAATAGACGGGGATCAGTAAGAAGAAATAATCTTAGGAGCTGGAGATCAACGAGCGTGGTTTACCGATCTAAACTTAGGGATATTAATCATTCAACAAATCTGTAAATGGGTAAATGGATGGGGATAAGTAGCCACACTGGATTATAACATCTTGTTCCAGCCACGAATAATCCAAACATCCATGAAAGATCATTTGGGGTTGGTCAATAGCTTTCCAGGATCCTGATTACCGGTGTAAACACAGGGGATTATAAGTGAAATAACGATCAACAAAATAACGATCAACAACGTTTCCTTATGCAGTACTTGGTTGTTCATTTTCAGTGAAATCACATAGCTATTGAAAATGGCCCATCGATGAATTCACTATCAATAGTGATTTTCCATAGCTATGTTTACCGGGTAACCCCCTACACACAATCTCCTGATGACCTGACCTGGGAAAATGAGACCTGGACTCGACTCGCAAATGACCAGCTGATCATTTTGACAAAAAAAACAAATTGAATGAACAGCAAAATAGTGATATCCCATACTAAAAATAGATATCCCAGCTATTTTGGGACACGTCAGTTTTGAGGGGTGCTCGATTTTTACTGGACGACCCCTGACCTTGTCTGCGCTGTGCTTCAAGGTCACATACCTGGGTGTAGCCATGATCAGCATGCGACAAGCAAATCAAACAAATCTGGGGGAAAATTCCTAAGGTTTTTGATATGGTAATATAGTTTTACTATCCAATATGTAATATAATATATATATATGGATATGGATATGGTTTAACATACCCTCTGGGTATTTAACGTAGCCATAGAAAATCACCATTTTTAAGTTCGGTAAACCATCTATTTCTATAGGCCATCTATACCATGTCTATGTTAGTCATAACCAAATGTTAATTACATTGATCATAGTATAACAAATGGTGATTATCCAATTATGGTATACCATGTCTATGTTAAATAACCAAATGGTAATCATCCAATTTATGAACAAAATCAAGCGGCTTTCTTTAGAGTCTGAAGCGCCAGAGATCAATCAACACCCCGGAAAGCCAGGGATCTTGGAACTGCTGTGGGTCCTTCCATCGATCTTCCATCGATTCAATGGGGGAAGATTCCGATGCCATAGCCGCAACGGGTAATCAAACATGGCAAGAACTGAACATCTTAATCAGAAAAATCATCGAGAAATGGATTTATTTCTAGTCTATAAGAGATAAAATCAGATCGCAGTCAGAAAATCATCTAGACATGACATGGATATATGTTTGTTCTACTTAAATGTTGTATTTTGCATAGCCAGATTTAGATTCCCAGAGGGTACTACTTGTAGCTGTTCTCCGTTCTCCATGAACTTTTTCTGCCTGGCGGCTGATGCCAGGAGCTTAACCACTTGAAACGATTCTCCAAGGCATTCATCAATTCATCGAAGTTCTGGAAAAATTTGTACCTCAGTAGAGAACTCGTTCAGAAAGTCATTGGATTTTTCTGTTGGGAAAATGCGCAGGGAGGCATGGCGTACGTTTTTTTTCTCATGTGTGAAATAAGGGGTGTCCTGTACATGATCCAAATGTTGCAGGAAACCATGGTTTTTACAAAAAAAAAAACGTGGGGCTCCTGCACATGTTCATCAGTTGGCCCACTGGCCAAGGGAGCAACAAGGGAGTTCTGGTGGGTGATAGGAGTTCCCAAGGCTTGGAAATTCTACGGCTGAAGCATTCGTGTATCCAAGGAGTTGGCTTGATTTTTCAATGTGGTCTCTAAAAGATAGCCACAGAATTTTGGAGACAGATTGGATCCATGAATTCTATTGGAATATGACTATTATTATTATATATTAGCCATTAGTAACCACCACTAGTAACCAGCAAAACTATAATATTATATATTATCCATTATTATATTATATTATATATTATCCAATATTTATTATATACCACCACCATTATAATATTATATATTATCCATTGGAATTGGGTAAAAACCTTCGCCAAGTGGCCGCAGCAAGTCATCTTCTGGCAGATCGAATCGACGCCTCTCATGCTAACTGCGACGACCAGTTGAGGAAAATCTTGCAATAGATAGAAAATCTAATATGGCATTAGTATTATTAATGTAGTATATGTCTAATTCCATATAATATGGTATTATTCCAATCTAATACTGTATTATTCCAATTTGGTAGAACATATGGAATATACATTGGAAGACATATGGTTCTACAATCCAATATGCCAATATGTAACATATAATAATATATATAATTAGAGGGTCCTGTAAATTCTCCGACAACAAATTCTGGGAGCAGAACAACGGCCATAAACCAGAGGATCAATTGGAGGTCCATGCTACTGTGAGCTAGAAACCGATATAGAAGACCACTGTCTGGTGTGATCCGTTCTTTTTCTTTTAAGATTTCATTGTTTCATTGAATAATTAGTTAGGAAAAAAACACTCTACATATAATCTGGTTGGTGGTATACCTAGCCCTCTGCAAAATATGACTTCGTCAGTTGGGATGATGACATTCCCAATATAATGATATATGGAAAAATAAAAGATGTTCCAGTCACCACCAACCAGATCAACCAGTAATGATAACCATGAGATGATCCGCCACCGGATGTGCCCGAAGAAAACACGCCTGCAGTGGTGATGGCTCCAGCCATTCTCGGGACGTGGGAAATCCACCCACTCGGGATGTCCGAATTCGTTGCCCATGAAGTTCAGGTAGCCTTCGCCTGCGAAAAAAACGCCAAAACCGCCGTGTTTGTTTCCGAAAAAGTGATGGTTAGTGATGTTAGTAGTGGTTAGTGAGGTTAGTGGCGGCTGATTTTTGGCGGAAGTATGTTCTTCTGTAAAATCATCGAAACATCGACAGATTGCGGATTTCCTTGCAATTTCAAGATGTTTTGAAAGGGAAATGAATGGATATGACTAACATAGCCATGGAAAATCACCATTGTTAATAGGTAAACCATCTATAAATGGGCCATTGTCCATGGCTATGTTAAATAAGCAGAGGGTAAATGGGAACGTCTCACATGCCCGACGTTCTGAAAAGCCGGGCACCCTGCAACAACTGAGCGACCAATCCAGTTGGGCCTTTTTTTTGGGCCCGTGGTCGATCAACAATTCCAGTCCATCAACCATGGGACTTCACCATGGGATTTCCTGACCATTTTTTGTGGCACATCCCCAAGGTTTATCACCATAAACATCGGATCAAAAGTATCTTCCCAAAGTGTTTTTCTACGCCAAATGCCCAAAGCATCTCAGTGTTCCAAAGAAAAAAACATGAAGTTTCCTACTGGAGGATTTTGCTAAGAGGATTCAATTCTAATTAGCTTCTCTCATTTCAGAAGATTAATCATGATTAATCTCCTCCCCTACTAGTACTAAACGCCCCCCAAATACTCCCCAAATTCCCTGGATGCCATGGCCACATGGCCGCGTTCCGCTCGCCTCCCAGTCCCAGCACCAGCAGCCGGATCATCTTATGCAGCGCCAGGCCACGATCCACGGCCATGCTGTGGTGAGGCGATTGGAAAATGCCTCGGAGCGGTGCTGTGCGTTGGAACGTGCCCAAAACGCTGGGGATTCCCATGGGGAATTCCAATGGGAATTCCAATGGGATTTTCCATTAAAAATCCATGGGATTCGCCATGTTCGGGGGATTTTCTAGAAATTTTCCATGTGATTTCCATGGGAAGCAGGACAACTTCGGACAACCTGTGACTCGCCCCAGAATATTCACCCCAGGAGGGTGCTTAGCAACAGATAGACATGTAAGATACTTGTAATATACATGATACTTGTAGATATCTCTATAGTACTTGTAACTTAAGATAAACATGTAGATATCCTTTTGCGGGATACTGTATTGTAAGTTACAAGTAATAAAGAAAAAATGCGGCCAGCCTCCGTTCTCCCACTTGCAACTATAGTGATTAGCCACATAGGACGACAGCTTGGTCTGGGTCAAGACATGTCAAGCTATTCGTCCCAAGAAGCCACGTGGAAAATCAGAGGTTTTTGATTCATCCTCCTCCGGAAAATATCGCATTTCCCACGAAATCCCATAAGATCCATTACCATCTGGTTATGACTAACAGTTTGCCATGGAAAGATCCACCCATTTTAATAGGTAAACCATCTATAAATGGGCCATCTATACCATGGCTATGTTAGTCATAACCAGAGGGTACATTCCATGAAATTCCAGTCCCAGTAGATCCCATTTGAGTCCCATGAAATTCCGCTGAGTTTTTCCGCTGAATTCCGATCCCATGTCTACCAGAGTGTTCTCTCTCCAAGCGTCTCATGTCGGTATACATCGCCGCATCCATCAGCCAGAAGGCCAATGTCTTGTCACCCACCTGCCGTATCCACAGGTGACGTTTTCGGTTGGAAGCGACGAATCTTTGGGGCTTGGCAAACCTTGGCCATTTTTTGGGGATTGGTGTTTTTGTTGTATATCCTGATATGGGGTATGGGTCAAGATTGGGTAACCCAATAACTAGATGCTCAATACTAAACACATGCAAGTCAATCCGTGGTCCCTTCTCGGGCTTAAGTTTCATGGCCATACTGTGGATGGTTGCGAAATCCTGCACCAGTTGATAGGTGGTAAACATCCCATTATTTACAGGCTTTCAACCATCCTCTTGGTGGTGCAGGATTTCGCAACCATCCGCAGTCATGATATTATATTGGAGGGGATTAGCAACTATTTGACACCAACAAGTGTTGACCCCCATATGAATGATACTTATTTTGACTCAATGTTGGGTCAAACTTGAGGCCCAAAGGGAAAAACGAAACTTGAGGCCCAAGGTTCATATGAGCCTCAACACTGAGATTTTGAGATGCACACACATTGCCAATCTTAGATGCCCTGCAAAAAACTAAATTCTTTGCTGGTTAGTAGATATTCCCATTGATACCAAAAGACTAGTTAGGATTAGTTTGTATCCATGTAAGATTGACCTAGTACAGATTGCCTAGAGACCTGGCAGGAGCCTGTGACCATCTGCTTCCAACACCGCTTCAAGATGCTGTCGAGCTGCAATGGCTTGATCATGGGACTCGGCGTATGCCACAACCTCCGATTCTGCCGCAGGTGCAGTGGGGAAGTGATCTACCTTTAAAACACATGTTCTAAATCCATAAAACCACGGGAAATACCATGGAAATACCATGGAAATACCATGGAAACAGAACAGCCGCAAGTTTTTCAGGGCTTGCTCCACAGTGGTTAGTGACTGGATTGTAACATTTGTATACATATTGTAACCCTGTAATAAGATGTGTTCTTACTCTGTGATTTACAACCCAGATCTCAGCCATTTACGACAACTTCAGGGACCATCGCACAGGTCTCACGCTCGCTTTTTATCCCAGTGCTGCGATTGCCACATCCTGTCTCCCAGTCGCATGAATCTGCCCAGCCGTGGACGTGCACATGTTTCAGGCACAGGTCGTCGTTTTTCAACCGGGATCTTCGCAAATCCTCATAGCCAAGTCAACTTCACATCCTTTTCATGAGAGCACTGTCACCACAAGGGCCGCGAATGGCAAATCGCATCACTTTCGATCTCAGTCGACGAGTCGTTGCGCAGCGCCTGATCTCGCCTCGTTATATCAGGATGCTGCAGATACGACGTGTGTCCTCTTGATCTTGTCAGTCTTGTCACCAGCTTCTTCAATCAAATATTCGTACCTGCCATCGAAAACAGAGCGCCCAGACTTCCAGACTTCCAGTTAAACATATTCGCAACCTTTTCCAAATACCTGGGAAATCCTGGAAATATACAAGAGGCTTTCTTTCCCAACAATCTCTATATACATCCTGAATCAAAGCAAAAAATGTCAAGTCAGACGTGTCCAACATTGTCCCACCAGTCCTCTTCTTGTACGGAAAGCATGGATCCGGCGTGTCCAAATTCGCCTCATAGAAAAAGGGCATGGAATATCTCTCCAGGCCCTTGCCGTTGCCCTTCGGGCCTGGAATCCCCATGGGAATCACCCGGTGGAGCGTGGCCTTACTCGGCTTGCAGCCAGCGCAGCTGTTCGCCTCGCCTTGTGCCTCGGCGGATCTCTGCTGGGTCCAACGGAAGAGGTCCGTGCCCAGGTTCACGATCCAGTGGCCCGGCAGAAATGGCACCGGCTCCCAGAGGATTGCTGAGGAGAACTGGGCATCGTCCCGGCCTTGGGCCATGAGACTTTAGGATGTGAAAAAAAGGGATACCAATGGATCTGAAGTGCAGCTTTGTGTAGGATATTGAAGGTAAATATTGAAGCACTCCTATATATGTTTCGCTGTATTGTCATTCTTTACCCCAACCCTCAGAGAACAAAGCAAGAATTCTCACCTTCGCCCCTGACATAGCTGGGTACGGCTCAGAAAAAGGGCACAAATGGACCATGATGGGTGTTTCTGAAAATAGAGGACTCGTGGTTTATCATAGTTCTTTTATTGAAATGACAATTTGGGAGTATACCGTAACACCGTATACCCGATTTTCAGACACACCCATATACATTTCTCAATTACCCATCCACCTTCAAAAATCCCTTGGGAGTGAAGAGCCATACCCAGTGGCTCCTATCCTCCGCCACGGCACACCGCTCTCCCGAAAACAGCCCCAAGGCATCTACGGCCTCTCTCGCGATCGAAGTCCCTTGGCGTATTCCAGGCCCGGCTGACCATCGGTGTAGAGCAAGGTGCACATGCCATCGTCCTGATGTGGTCGGATTCCAAAAACCTGGTCCGAGCCATTGGAGCTGCCATAGCCTCCTGGTCGGAAGTTGTAGTTGTAATGGGTAAATCCCAGCAGGCTGGTTGATCTCGTGAAGGCGTCATCTGAAGCAGAATCGCTGCAAAGGAAGGGCCCCAAGCACTTAAGATCTGCCAGCGATTTTCGGAGTCGAGTGCATGCTTTGAAACACACCTGGAAATACTCCGAGCTTTTCATTGCGAAGCGTTCACACCAAAGTTTGGAGGCAGCACTGCTGGGCTGTGGCCATTTATTTTCACCCAAACCACAAAGTTCTGTGGACAGATCTGCTTTTGGCATCCGCAGATTGAAGGATTCGCGCATGCCGCCTGCGAAGTTGGAGTCCTCACTCACCGCTCGATAGCCAGCACCTGTTGAGGGGATCCGGGATCGGTCGCCACCTGGATCCTTGACCCAATAGCAGGCATCCAGGTCGTTCCTCGGAAGCTAGGGTGGTAAGGACATCTCGGCACAAGTTCTCGATATCCCTGACCTCTTTAGAAAAAAAGAGACGTTGAGTGGATGAGTGTGTCAGAATGGGGTGCCAAAGGTGGGTGTTCACTTATTGATTGTCACTCTTCAAGAGGATTCTAAGGGTCCTCAATAGTCCTCAATCCCTACCTTGTGTTTTTGTCGTCATTTCCAAATGCTTGCCAGGTGAATCTATAATAATTGATGAGAAACTACCGCAAGCACCAGCACAAGGACAGGCACAAGCACAAGCACAAGCACAAGCACAAGCACAAGCACCACCACCACCACCACCACTCTGAAAATTATTTGAACTTTGCAACTTGATAGCGACCCATTTATAGGGACTCCATTTTGGACGAGAATTCCAAATCCCCGATGTAGGCAAGCATCTTCAGAACTTCCTTTTCGGCCAATGGGAGGGCGAAGAATTCTCGAGACAATTGCAGAGTGTCTTCCGCCAGCTGTTCCACAGTTGCATCTGGAAACTTCAAGTAGAAGAATCCTGACTCAGCTCAAGACTCGGACTTCCAACATGTTGAGACATCGAAGAAAATGTCCAACCTTTTTAGGGATTAGGTAGCAAAAATAGCCGCATAGCAATACCATTTTCCCATGGACTTCTGAAAAAATCATGGGAAATCCCGAAAAAAAAAACACCACAATACCCAACCAGTCATTCTTGTTGGATCAAATCCAACAAAAGCTCGTTGGGATGAAACATGTTTTTTATGTGCTGAACACGAACCCATGTTTCGCGTGCTGTTTCACATGTTTCATGCCTAAAAACTTCACCAAAAACCACGAAAACCTGGCTCCGTCGGCAGCGTCCTGGTCCCTCTGGTGACACCGCCTTTGCCAAGATCTCCAAGTGCCTGGGATCTGCCCAATCCACCCGTGGCAATGGGCTCTCCATGGCCATTTCGCCGTGCCCCAGGACTCGGGAAGCTCAGAAAATGCGGCAGTGCGAAAGTTGGGAGAAATACATCAACTCCTCGTCTTGATGTTCCTCTATGGATAAAAGAGGTTGGGGAAGAAATTCTGTGAAAGTGAAAGTTGGGAAAACATTGGTTAATTTATACGTTTATATATATATATATATGCTATCGCTGTATTCCTTTGCTGCGAAAGTTGGGACAATGTTTCTAATTCACCGTGTTGATCCTAGGTTGGAGATCCTGAAACCATGTTTCTGGAGAAATCTGGATACCCTCTGGTAAACAAACAAAGAGCTATTGAAAATGGTGATTTATAGTGGATTTACCCATTCAAAATGGTGATTTGTCATAGTTATGTTAGTTTACCAGATGGTAATATATCATAATTCACGTACCTGAATTGAGCCAATTTGGGGATTCAGTTCCCCAATCCTCATGAACCAGGATGTGGCAATGTGGCTGCGACATGTTTTTCCTGTCCCCGGGTCCCCCTCAAAAATCATCATCGAAGCAACATCCTGGGTTCCCACTTTTTGGGGCATCCTTTTTGGGAACCCCTTTTTGATCTAAAGTCTAAACCGCTCCAAATTTGGGGCTATCCGGTGACTGGACCGATGATCGTCGTTCCGACGTTCTCTTGATTCAAACTCCATTGTTCCTTCTCTGCTCCCAAGTTTTGTTGGTGACATCCCATGTTCAAATGAAGAGTGTGCCTTCCCAGGCCCAAGTGTATTGGCCCCCAAAGAATTGCCCAAAGTTGATGTAACAACCAAGTTGGTGGCTCCTAGAGGAGCTCCCGGTGCGAATCCAATGTTTTGCCCTGGACATGACCCAGGCCATCTTGGTTCCACATGCCATCCAGCTGTCCCCAATTTGACGTAAATCTTCCGCCTTCTCCAAGTGCCTTCGGTTGGTGAGCCTGAAGAGTGAACTGAGGAGTTTGGGCTAATTCGGTCAGTTGGTTTCCTTTGCTGGAAAATCGCCCATAAACCAATGGGGAAATCTGGGAAAACCATCGGAAAATCATAGAGAAATGTGGGAAATCCATGGAAATCCACTATAAATGGAGGTTTAGAGCTGGGAAAAACATCGAATGGTGGATTCTCCAGCTAGCCATCTTTGATTACCGGAGTGAAATACACAACTTGACTGGTCCGGCTTCGATCCCATCTTGTGGGAATGGTGCAGCCACCAAACAACAATCTCCAAACAGATAGAGAAGTACCCTCTGGTAATTTAACGTAGCTATTGAAAATGGCCATTTATAGTGGATTTTCCCATAAAAAATTGTGATTTTCCATAGCTACGTTAAATTACCAGAGGGTAGAACTTCAGAACCCAATCCCAAGATTTGGGTACAGCACTATGTGAAGCCGATGTTGTTCTTCCATCCTTTTGGGCAGTTACCAACTCAGAACGGCATCGCAGAACTGTCGATGCCGTTCACCTGGTGTCCCGCTGTTCCAAGCTGCGTATAGCAGATGTGGCCCATGTCCCAATTATCATCGCCTACTTCCTGGTGTCGATGCACTGGTGGGGTGACGCTTACTGGTTTGGAGATGTTTGGAGATGTTTGGAGATGTTTGGAGTCTGAATATCACGTACCCCCCAAACCACCAGTCGACAATCCGGATCCAAGCCAGCATGACAGCCAAGGGCATACGAAGGGAAGGCTGAACGTATAGATTCCATGAAGTATCATGTACCACTTGTAGAAAGGCCACGGCTTCTGAATCAAATGCTTCCGAAGCATATCGGGGGAGTACTGTGAGGATGAATGTTATATGATTGCAGAAATTGACTTCTCAGTGGAGAGCAACCCATACCCTCGGATAAATTTAGCATTTTAGCATAGCCTCGGAAAATGCCCCATTTCATTTCCCCACGAAAACCCCACATCAAAAACACTCAGAACTCCACATCAAAACAAGCCCACGAGCGTTCGCTCTCCTTCAACAGCTTGATGAACATGTCTGGGATCGCCATGGCCAAACCTGAACAAATAGCCCACATTGGAGCAGCCCGCAGCCCCTCCAGATTTCTCTGCTAGTTCTGGGGCCCATCTGTTATGTTAGTTGATTCAGAAGCCTAAGTATAGTATAGATATAATCACCAGAAAACCTTGTTTTATTGGTTATGAACCAACTTAGCAAATTATGGGGCACCACCTTGTGGTAGTTGTGGATGTTCATCCTCCCAAATATGGTGTCGTTCTGACCTGTTTTGACACATCGCCACCTGGCGCCTGGGGATTCTCTACGATTCTCTACCTTTGACCTAAGATCATAGAATTGGATGATGGGAAAATTTACAGGAAAGCCTTATATTTGATGGTAAAACCCATGGTTTCCTGCAAATTTTCCCTTAAACCAATCCAATGATAAGGCCACTAAAAACATCACCACGCTATGTCCAAGAAACGATAATCGAAGCCGAAGCCTCCCCACTCCACTGGTAGGCCGATCGTTGGCATGCCACTCACATCCTGCCAAGCTAGGAATCTGAAGCTGAAACCATCAACCTGTGTCGATCCCAAGAATGGGGGCTGGTTAGGGTTGATGGATTTGCCTTACCCTCTGGTAAACATACAAAAAACTATGGTAAAGCACCAGTTTTAATAGGTAAATCAACTATTTTAATGGCCATTTTCAATAGCTCTTTGTATGTTTACCAGAGGCTACCAGCAACGACCGAGCTGCATGGGTCGCCTCAAATCTCCATGTGACCAGTTCACGACTGCTGTAGTAGGCTTCTACTCTCGATGATCTTTTTGGGAGGTTGCTATAATGATGATAATCCCCCAAATGTATTGGTTATAACATGTTATAATGTTATAACCATTATATATATATACGTCTATACATATTGATCATAAGCCTACTTTGTCATGGTAATTTTATGGTTTTGGTTGCAGAAAAAGCTTCAACACCACCAGCCCCGTCCCGGCGATCCGAAAAACGCCCCGAGCCCGAGCCCTGTGTCCTCAGCCACTGTCACTGCGCTGGGAACCTGAGGTGTCATCCGCCGGCACTGACCAAGGTACAGGATCGAAGTTTGGACGGGAAAAAGTAATAACTGAATTGTATAAATAGATATTTGCTATAGATATACATACTATAATTGATATATTATAGATATCATACTTGCTGTTCCTAGTTATCGTGATAGACGTGTTTCCCAACTGATGACGTCACTACGGTTGGTAGTAACCGATGGTGCCAGGCGGGATATGCATGATATTGCCATCAGGTGATCTCTCATCACCACCGTTACCATCTATTACTATTAGTCTTGCCGTCGCTCTACAGATATATATATATAATATAATATATATATATATAGTATATATGTACAATGTGATGCCCCCCAGTTATAAGTTGGTTTATAAGCCCCAGTAACTATAGTTATAAGTACCATAAACCATACTTATTGGAGTTATAAACCAACTTAGCTATCTTGGGGGCCTCACATTGTATATATATATATATCATTGTTGTCTTAGTGTTACTGTAACGATGTATATATACATGACAGCGGGCATCCCAAGGTGTGTATGAATATGCCAATATCATGATGATATGTTCAGTAATGTTCAGTAATGTTCAGTACAATTTGACTATTTAAGATAATAGTTACATCATCACTGCATGTCGTCGTTTTTTTTGCAAAGCCACATACTGCAGCTGCAGATCATCATTGTGAAGCTGTTTCTGATGTTTCGTGTTTGCTTTGATCCACAATATTTCCTGTGTTTCAAAAAATTAACCAGCAATTATCTCAGAAACTGTGGAATCCCATCCCAATGATCATGGATATCCATGAACTGGTTTAACCAGGTTTGTTTCTAACTATGGTTTCTTTGCATCAAAAAAACAACAACAGGACCTCATCTGCAACGAAAAAAATCATGCCAAGCTGCAATGCTGTGGATCAAATCGTTAGACAACATGAGGTAGATGTGGCTGTCAATGTCAGCATCGGGCCCAAAGTATTCGTGGTAACCGCCCGTGTAGCCCTTACCGATGCCTAGGCAGCTAGGCACTTCTCGGATGAAATCTCTGAAAACAACGAAAAGCGGGTCATGGTAAATGCTTCCAAAAACGCGTTCAATTTGAAAAAGAACAACAACAAATAGTATATGTGGTAAAACCCCATGATTCAAACCATCCTCAATATCATTTTTTGCCAAAAAACATATATTACCAGTTCCACAAAAGGTGGTATATGTGTGTGTGTGTATGTTTATATATATATGTGTGTATGTGTATATATTTGTATATATATATATATATTAGTTCCACCCATTTGAGAATGGTTTACCAAAATATTCCTCATTTTTTCATAGTATCAAATGGTTATCACCGACAATCTACAATCTCACCATAAATCAGTATTGGGGATAATTGTTTACCATTGGTGAAAAAATAGTTATTGTTCATAATGTCAACCCCGGTAAACCATTGTTTATTAATTAGGGGGTACCCTCCATGTAGTCACAATATGGTACATAAATGGTACCCTCCCAATTGAACAGCCTAGGGGGTTATTAATCCAGGGTTGACATTATTGTTAATAATCCCCAGGGTGGTAAAAAATCAGCCCAAATGGTGCACCAAATGTTGCGAGGTCGCCGTGAGAGTGGTAGAGCATCGAGGTGATTCCGTCAAAGCGGAAGCCGTCGAATTGATACTCCTGGCGGACCGATTTGGGAAATGAACAAATGGCATGTATATATAATATAATATAATATAATATAATATAATACAATATAATATAATATAATATATATATATATATATACGTATATTATATATATATATGTATTATATATAATGGGATTAATGGGTCAATTAGATCATATCCCACTCACCTGAATTTTTCGGCCGTTTTTTTTCTGTGATTTGCCAGACCTGAAGAGTTCGGCCTATTTGCGGTGATTCCCCTTCCCAACCATGATTCCAGTGAGGTAAACCTATGGCTTCGCGTTCGGAAAATGGTCGAGAAAAAGGGTCGAAATTTTCCACATCTGTGATAGTTTACAGTGGAGTATATACAGGATATGTACAGTAAGGAAATCATGGGGATTTTTGATGGGATGAAAAGTATGCGGGTAGCGGTAATTGGTGGGGGGGGTGGGACCCTGGTTTAATTTCTTTAATTAAACGGGGTCCCCTGCAGTATGGTTTTTTCCAATTTTTTTTAGTCAAACATAACCTCCGTTTATTTTTAACATAAGAAATTAATCCAGAAAAATCCAGTTAAGGTCCCACCTAGCATCCCCCAGCTAAAAATTAAACAAGCTACTCGGCAGTACCTGGTTTAATTTTACAGGATCATTGGGTTGATTTTGTTTTGCCGAGACCAAATATTAAACCACCTGGTTCTACACATGTCAGTGAGACTTGGTGTAAAAACAGTTGCGCCCACCATTTTTCCCCCCAGGTGCGTGAACCAACTGAACTTTCTCAAAATTAAACCCCATGGTTTAATTTCAGCTGTTTTAGCTCATTGTGCTGCCTCGTGTTCCGCCTCGGGATACTGCAGCCATGGTTCCTGACACGTGTCCTAGCACAGCTCCGTGAAGACGATCCGGCGTGGACAGCAAGGTTCTTGCACAGTTGGGAACAGCATTGCTGCAGCCCAAATGCTCCATCTCAAGCAGAGCAAGTCCATGGGAAAGGCGCTGCGGGACCATGGTAAACTGTTTCTATCTGTTTCGGGCCCCTTGCGTGATCCCAGATCAGGTCAGAATAATTAATCAAGGGGTGGGTGAGTCCATACGTACTGAACATTCATTCATCAGGACACCTTTGGCACCATAATATTCATGGGATTTATGGTCACCAGAATAATTAAACAAGGGGTGGGTGAGTCCACATGTACTGGGCATTCAGGATCAGTTCTTCCATTGGGGCACCCCCAACACCATAATATCATACAATATCCATGGCATTGATGGTCACCAGAATAATTAAACAAGGGGTGGATAAGTCCACATGTTCTTGGCATTCATAAAGATTCATGTATTGGGATATCTTTGGTGTTATCATGATTCATTGTTTTTTCTTGAATTTTCATCTTTGGTCATCACAAGGGAAGGAACCTGATGGAATCTCATTGGACTTGCTACTTTGGAATTATTTTGACACCTGTATCTCACCAATCTCTCTCTCCACCATGATCAACTTGCACTCCAATGAGATTCCATCAGGTTCCTTCCTTTGTGATGACCAAAGATAAAAATTCAAGAAAAAACAATGAATCATGATAACACCAAAGATATCCCAATACATGAATCTTTATGAATGCCAAGAACATGTGGACTTATCCACCCCTTGTTTAATTATTCTGGTGACCATCAATGCCATGGATATTGTATGATATTATGGTGTTGGGGGTGCCCCAATGGAAGAACTGATCCTGAATGCCCAGTACATGTGGACTCACCCACCCCTTGTTTAATTATTCTGGTGACCATAAATCCCATGAATATTATGGTGCCAAAGGTGTCCTGATGAATGAATGTTCAGTACGTATGGACTCACCCACCCCTTGATTAATTATTCTGACCTGATCTGGGATCACGCAAGGGGCCCGAAACAGATAGAAACAGTTTACCATGGTCCCGCAGCGCCTTTCCCATGGACTTGCTCTGCTTGAGATGGAGCATTTGGGCTGCAGCAATGCTGTTCCCAACTGTGCAAGAACCTTGCTGTCCACGCCGGATCGTCTTCACGGAGCTGTGCTAGGACACGTGTCAGGAACCATGGCTGCAGTATCCCGAGGCGGAACACGAGGCAGCACAATGAGCTAAAACAGCTGAAATTAAACCATGGGGTGGGTCACATCTCAAAATTAAACCAACTCAACTTTCTTCAGGATCTTAAGGTGGGTGGACCCCCTGTTTTCGTAAGATTTTTTAAATTAAACCAAAAAAATTAAACCTAACTCAGTGTCCACCTGGTTTAATTTAGCTAGTGCATCCCGCATTGAAAAGTGGCCTAACCAGCAAAATGATTGATGGTTTGTCTCATAGCCCCAATCTACGGCCATCAAAAACCATGCTGCGATGTTGGGAAAATGTGATTTTTGGATATTGTTGGGCGTGAACAAGTACAAAAAAAATCAGAGTCCAGTCCGGGCAACATGGATGCCTTGAATTTTGGGTTCTACCCAAATGTTTCAGGTCCATTTCAGGTTTGCAGGACCAGAATCTGTCACGAACAACGACGTGTCAACAGGGTTCACAGCAATCAGAGGAATCAAGTCCCGACACAGACTTCATCAAAAGATCGAATGCAGAGACTGGACATCTGGGTCTGAACCCTGAGACGTTCTAAGAAGTCAATGCAGCAAAGAATTCCTCTTAGGTGTAACTGCACAGTAACAGCTGTCTGTGAAGTGCAGTTTGTAATATCTGGGGAAGAAATGTGGTAATTCACACGCATTGTCATAGTTGCAGAGGGTGGTTTGTGCCATGGCACGGTCAGCCACCATTTGACGTTGGAGAGGAGGAAACGCAGAACCTGGAAAGCACAAGTGCGAAAACTGGAACTAACCCATGACCAGTGAAGGGTGAAAAGCCGACCTGCCCCAAAAAATAATGCCGTTTTGGGTTCTGTAGCCTACACATTCCCCAAGTTCCGGTGGCGTGATATCCTCAGAGTCCACATGCCCTAATGATATGTCACCCAGACAAATCAGATCTAGTGTGACATCATTCTGGCCTCATACTTCAAGTAGTTGAAGATCTTCCTCGGTCGTCACATAAAATAGCCAAGGACAACTGTTTGAGATGTTTGTGTGATCCCCTCTGTGTCTCTTGTGCAAAAAAATGCCGCCATCATCATCATCATCATCATAATCATCGTAGTAGTAATCACCATCATAATAATGATAATAACAACCATGATAATGGTGATGCTGATGCTTACTATTGTTACTATTGATAGTAACAATAGTAACCATCAGCATCACCATCATGGTTGCAGCATATCAATCTCAGCATCAGCAGATCCGGGCACACCACCATGGCCTGTTCTAAGTTCCGCTCCACAATAAATTACAGCGCCACTTTCTGAAGAGAATAACTGGTTGGTGGTTGACCTACCCCTCTGAAAAATATGAGTTCGTCAATGGGAAGGATGACATCCCATATATGAAATGGAAAATAAAAAATGTTTGAAACCACCAACCAGATACATACATAAAATTGATGTTCTTCAAACAATTTCTGCTTTAGTAGACCAGCTGATTTCAAGGTTGGTTATATATATCCTCATATATCCTCATATATATCCCCATATATCCTCATATATCCTCATATATCCTCATATATCCTCATATATCCTCATATTCCATTGAATCACTGCATTTTTAGCCAGATGTCGAGTCCCATTCGCTGTGGTGGCCCTTGGGTCCTCAGGAAAGAACGTTCGAGAAGAATGGTGCCAACAAAATGACCTGGTTGATTGGTGAAAATATAGGGAATTAGATTACCTAAGATTGGTTAATGATGGTTAATAGAGGGAATTATCTTAATAACCATCATTAACCATCATTAACTACCTGGAATTATATTGGTTATTAATGATTGATGGTCAATAGAGGGAATTATCTTACCTAATCTTCTATTTGGGGATTATCAGAATCCATAGGGAACCTTTCGATTCTCAATGTTCCGCTTGTGGAAGTGGGAAATGAGCGGTGTCTTTTACCCCGGTCTTTTGTTGGCACTTCAGGTTTGTTGGTCATGTGGATCCTTGCTGTGGTTGGCTCAACAATCCAAAGTGTCATTAAATGAAGAGGAACAAACAGTTGAGCCAAAACCGGTGGTTTATTATGGAGGTATAACGGAGATATCATGGAGATATTATGGAGATATTATGGACATATTGCTGGTGAATGACATCCCCAACACAGCCCGATTCGGGTCCTCCATGAGTATAGCCTCGGTTTCCGGCGTTTCCGGGTCGTGGGAATGGAACACAGACATCCACAGACCACATATGACATCTATCCAGTTCCCATCCATTCTTGACACACCTTGGATGGCAGAAAGAAAACTTCACCAGGTGACCAGGGCAGCAGAAACGACCATGTTTCGAACATGTGGTGATCGTTTTCTTTTCGCCAAAAAGGTCCTGTCGTCAACCCTTACATGTTCTCAATGAAATAAGTAATGTGCTGGTTGGTGGTATACCCACCCCTCTGAAAAATATTTGTCAGTTGGGGTTACTATTCCCAATCTATGGAAAGTCATAAAATTCCATGGTTCCAAACCACCAATCAGACTTCTAAATTTCCTAAACGAACATCATTCCTCGCAGCTTAGCCAGAGCTTCAACAGGCTGAAGTGCTTCACCGTCAGAGGTTGATCATGATTTTGAAGAAAAAACACCAAAAAGAGATCGTTCACCACAAAACCAATATGAAATGTCAAGCCTGGATTAATAAACCCCAAACGATTGTTAAAAAAGGGAGGGTACCATGTAAGTATCATATGAAATGACTATTGGAGGAGTACCCCCCTAATTCATAAACCATGGTTTATTAATCCGGGGTTAACATTATAATATAATATCATGAACCCTGTCTCAAAAACCAAACAAAATCATTGGAAATATCTGGTTGCAGTTCAACCCACCCCGCTCCATGACATCTGGTGGAAACCACCACCCCGCTCCAAGAGCTCACCCGGTTTCACCGGTTTTCTGGCGCGCAGCAATGATCGGTGCCATCCATCTGTGCGATGCCGTCCAAGGTATTGGAGGAAGCGTGGGCGTGCACCAAATCCATCAAGACATGGATACCGAGGCCTGCTGAGCATTCCACGGTGCTGAAAGGTGGCTGGGTTTCACCCACATCGCAACCGTTGACCCATTTGGGTATCAATGAATATGGGGAGGTGTACATCCATTCACCAAAAACAATAATGCTAGTAAGGTTGATCATCAACAGTTGATGTGAGCATGATGCTAGTAAGGTAGTAATGCTAGTAAGGTTGATAACTGTTGATGTGAGGTGATTCTTCGTTACATCGATAAAAAACACCCATTTGGGGCCCGCATGATATCCCACCAAACCGCCAGGCTTTCCTGTAAATTTTCCCATCATCCAATTCTATGAAGATGATAAAAATGATGATTTAGCTATTAAAAATATATAGTGATTCTCCATTGCTATGTGAAAAAAAACCAGCGGGTTACTCCTAGAAACATCTGAAATAGTATGTAAAGTGGAGACCAAGATTCCTCTAAAGCAAGGTGGAAACTGACCAACGACCCAGCAGCGTCGAAGCGTGAGGATGAACCTGTGCATAGTTTCCCACGGTACTTCGACACTTCTTGATTTGTGGAGCTGATTGAATCCCCATTTTGCTGGCAAGCTCCTCATTTTGCTGATGATATTCCCACATATGTTGCCTTTTTCTACATCCCCCAACTATTCATCGATATGATTCAATGTCCGTCTGACTTAAATGTGCGCTTGGAAAATTGGACTGACAACAACCATTATAGCAATTAACATCAATTAACTGTTTAAATGATACCTCTATGGTTTTGTCCTTTAAAAATAGTCAAACCTTATCCCAAGTCAAAACCTGATGTAAAAAAAGGTTAATTCGCCATGATTCGATGCCAGGATACTGGGGGATACTCCGATACTTATCATTGCTGAAAGGCCCCTGTTTTTAGATGGCTAAATCCCTCAAACTTAAACACTTTCAATTTTGAAGTATCCCACATCTAGTAGCTTCGTCAAACCCTTAAATAAAGACCATCAAACACCTGTAAACAACAAATTATGCCCAAGAAACCCCATACCATGTAAAATGTATAGGATGTTATAGGCATATAATATTTTTGGGTACAGGGCTCAATATCTTTCAGTGGCGTTCAAACCATCCCACCATTGATGTCCGGGCGCCATGCGCTGTGTCCACCAGGTATTTCAGCTCCTCCGGCGTTCCGGAGCGGCTGGCCGGTGCGAAGAAGGAGGTCACCTGGGATTTCCAGTTCGGAGGGGCGAGCGTTGACCGTGACCGATGCCGAGATACCGAGGTCGACTTGGGAACACACCGTGGGGTTCCAAGAAACTGCGAGCTTTTTATGGTGGATTTCCCATGATTTCACCAGCGACAAATGTGGGACTTTCACCTTCCAACGAGGGAAAAATCCGCAAGAAAAACTGGGATTTCAACAGAAATGAGGACTTCACCAGCAAAAATGGATGGATTTTTGACCATAAAAAACTGGGATGTCAACCCAAAAAGTCCACCCCAGCCAGAAATGATGACGTCAGCAGCTTGCTGTGAGATTTGACCCAAATTTTGTTTCATTGAACATGCGAAGCATGTAACCCAACTATGGACAATGTTCAACCCAAAGTTTAAATCTCATGGTAGTTGAACCAAGCAATAATTAGTGCTTTTCAACGACCAAGAATTGGATGTCATGATGTCATCAAAGGAGAACGGGAATGTGATGATTGAAAGTTGGATCCAACAAAACAATCCATGTTAGACGTAAGGACTTTAGCAACAATAATTTGAGTGAAGCCTTTACCTCGAAGACGTTCTGGAACTGAGCAAAATGGGGGAGACCTTACCTCGAAAAGAAATGGAAGGATTACAATGTGATTTTGTCTCAAACTGCAGCATAAGTACCACCTAAAAATCGTCGTTTTTGGTACACAAAATACAGTTTCTTTGGCAACACACATACTATTTTTCTGCATACGAAAGGGAGTCAATCCAGAATGATCTCCAGGTATTCACCGCGGCCGCGGCACATGGTATCCGAAGCAGCCGTAGTGCGCGTGTTCGGCCACCGCCATCAGTTGCACACAGTTGTAGCCCATGCGCTTGATGCGTGGCAGCACGTTACTCGGCGAAACGCGTGGCGCTACGCGTGGCGAAACGGTGGAACTAGGATGGGTGGAACCGGGAGTTTGAAAAAGGCTGGCTAGGATGTGCATCACGTGTAAATCTTGTGTATCCCATATATAACCCATATATATATATTAGTATATATTATTATTATATATACATATTATTATATATATATACACTATGCTTATAATATATTTATATATTTATATATTTATATATATATATTTATATATTTATATATTTATATATATATATATGTGGGGATATTCCCTTAACTTGTGTACGTAATAGATACCCTCTGGTTTCATGGGACATGGCAATAGGTGATGATTTTCCCATCCATCGAGTTCAGGGATATCGACATGGCCAGGTTTGACGACACCATTTCGGGTGTCCTTTTCCGCCATTGGGGACTTGATCCCCATGAGCTATGCATCTCATTATATCATATTTGTATTTATGTAATATAATACATATACATATATAATCATATATATATGTATTATATATATATGTCTATCATACCTCCATGTTTGTTGATTTTTCATCCCCATGTTTGATGGTTTTTTTCGTCATGATATCCATTGTTTTATATCCCGATTTGGGATACCTCGGTTTTTGATCAACATGTCTTGGGAGGGTGGAAAAAAAAAATGGTGAAAAAACCCATGGTGCTTGCAAGCAGAATAAAAAATTGGTGTTTGAATCCACATTTCTGATGGTTTTCCATGGTTTTCATGTGCAAAATCCCCAAATCTGAACCCCTCAGCCCAAGAAGCTCTGCGAACTCCACGTAAGTGGCGACCTTTGGCTCCACACTGCCCATACCTGTCTCATGATTGTTGGGCCAGGGGCCATTTTAAAGAAGTAACCTCAGAAAAGATCGAAAGGCACGTTCGATTTTATCTCTTTGGGGATTGTTCGATCTTAGAGGTTACTATAAGGTTCTAAGGATTTTATAGTAATTTAGTAGGATCTTAATAAGTTCTATCTCTTTGGGATTGCCAAAACAGGGGATTGCTATACAGATACCGCTCCGCAGTCGCCTACGTGGGCTTCGTAGATCTTCAGATTCTCGGGCTTCTCCGGTCGTGCGTGTTGGAAAACTCGGCTTTCAGGAGTCAACGACCACCAAAAAAAAGTGCAGCTGATCATTGTTCCACTCATTGGGGCCCTACCATCTGGTTATGACTAACATAGCCATGGAAAATCCCTTATAAATGGAGGTTTTAATGGGAAAATCATCTATAAATGGGCCATTTTCCATGGCTATGTTAAATAACCAGAGGGTAAGAGAACTTTCTGGAGGCGAAGGGCAGTTGCTCAAAAATAACATGCTAAACATTTTGAAGAGATTTGAACAGGAATCGAAGGTCCTGAAATATCGCACTGTCAATTGATCTTCCGACACTGAGCTCAGTTGTTTAGCCTCTGACTTTGGCTTTACAGCGTCAATTCTTTCCTCATGAGTTTCCAATCATCAAAAGCTTTTCGGTACACCATGGTACACCTCCCAAATCAAACACGAAACACCAAACAGAAACCGGCCATTTTTTTAGTGCACCCATCTTCCAAACCAGACTCAACTTCTTCGGGGGGTCCCCAGGTGAAATTTCCTAGCCGTCCCAGCGACAATGTGATGCCCCAAAAGGCTAAATTTATCAAAGGTGATCCAAAAATATCACAGACCCATCCACAAAGTCGACTAAACCAAAAATGATCAAAAATGTCCCACAACCAACTGGGCCATGAACTCATGAACCTGCCACTTGTCAATTCTATAGCCATATTATGTTTAAGCTTACAAGAACTACACCGAGGTGAAAGTAAGTGGCGCAACTTCTTGAATTCCAGGTGAGTTTTCATAGATGGCGTGGACACCGCAATTTGGCGCAACAAAAAGTGAGGCAAAAACACCAGTATGATGCTGTGGAAGATGGCACAGCACAGTGTGCCACTATGTGCCACTGATGCCACTATGTGCCACTGATGCCACTCTGTTGCGCCATGGATGTCAGGTTCTACCCTCTGGTAATTTAACATAGCTATGGAAAATCACCATTATTAATGGGTAAATCCACTATTTCGACTGGGCCATTTTCAATAGCTATGTTAGTTTACCAGAGGGTACCCAAATGTGCAACGGAATTGGTTGAGATTTCTTTCCCAACAGATGGAGCTTTCTGTTGCATATCTGTGAAGCTGGCCAGCCTCGACTCTGCAGGTCGTTGCGCCATCCATGGATTTTCGTGGAGAAACTCACATGAAAAAAAACCCAGTGACATGTGACAAGGGCGCCATCAAAAAGTGGCGGTTAAATATGGGGAGTTTTCTCCCCCATGCGAACGGAGTTGCGCCATGTATAGTTACTATAGTTGTAGGACAAAATGATCAAACTGCATCTATCCGGTTGCGGCACAGCTCGACGCTGATGATTTTTGGTGGATTCCCAGTCACTGGGGCATCAGACATTGGGATTGAACAAAACAGCATCAGACTAAGTGTAAAATATCCCTACCCGACATGGTAATTTAACATAGCTATAGAAAATCACCATTTTTAATGGGTAAATCCACTATTTCGACTGGGCCATTTTCAATAGCTTTTTGTATGTTTACCATGTCGGGTATATCCGGTTCATATCCATTGATGCCATTGATGATATCCCATCACCGAATCACCGAATCACCCAAGAATAGCCAAGTGACCATAGCGTTTCTCCTCTGGGGGCTCCCAGAATACGCCATTGAAGAGATTGGTGGCTCAGCAGAGGTGACATGACCACCAGGACTTCAATGGGACGCTACTCCGTGGGACTGGCTTTGTCAATGGGGACCCCCAAATTTCACAGATTGAATCCGGGAAAATGGTGACCCACTTGACCCAATTGACCCTTGGCTTTGGGGCTACCCTATCTTAAGACAAAGTAATATTAATCCTGGCTATGATGAGGATGTGAGCAGCAAAATGCAGCCTGAAACGCTGAAACGACTCTTCGATTTTTTCGAAAGTTTCGTGGCAGGCCCATGGCAGTTGACCACAAGCACTCGACTTCACCGCCATAAGTTTGGGATTGAACTCCTACCAGGATCTACCCCCAGGTCCATCAAAAATGCCGCGAGACTGTGATCCTGCCAAGACAACTTGCTCCTGCGCGGCGGTTTTTGTGGTCGACCTTGATGATGATTGCTGAGAAAATGGAATAAACCCTGCTTGTAGATCACATATTAGATATAGTAGAGTAGAATAGATATATTAGATTGTATTGTATTCAATTAGAGATTAGAGATTGCATAGAGATCAGATTAGACTAGATGGGCAGATGGGTGGATACGTAGATAGGTAGATAGGCGGATACAGTATGTAGATAGATAGATAGATAGATAGATATGGACCAAAACCAATTCCTAAGTGGGATGCACATTTATCGTTTACCTCCATTTGGATGACTTGTTACCCATAGTTACTGGATGGGTTTACCCTTTTTTATGGATTATTATTGTGGGATAAACCCCTATCGTTGAGTCTTGATCCCTACCATGTTGGCTGATCCAATTGTAGTAAACCTCAGAACATCTTCGATTTAGTGTGCTGATTTTCCCAGCGAACTAACCGTCCATTTAGTTCGGGGATGTTCCAGGCTATAAAATGACTATATGAAACTCTTATTGGACTATTATTAATATGAATCTATATTAGACACTATCTCATCATTTAGCATGATATTATATTTTACTATATGAACTGAAATCCACCGCCAAAAGGATGGTTAAAGCATGTCAAAACATATATATATATATTCAAAGCCTATAAATGCTATCAACCCACCAACTGCTGCAGGATTTCGCAACCACTGTCCAGGCAGGCACTCGATCGTGCCAGCCACCATCGTTGGATTCAATACGCACCTGGAGAGATTCGGGTGGAATCCTAGTACCATGATGTCATGAGTATGGATGTTTTTACCAGATACACACATATACATATAATGTACATGTGATATATGTACATCTGTATATATATATATACAATAATTATTATTATTTATTATTATTATTACTATTATTATTATTGTTGTTGTTATTATTATTATTATATGTGTGCATATATGTGCATGTATAAAATATACCATATAAGATCATATAAGCATACACACAAGTATGCCTAATTAATCACTCATCTGTATTGATGTTTGATGAACATTGGACAACCCCATGAAATGTCATGGTTTCATCCGGATCCTAGTCACCGTAGGTTGCGCTACTTCAACCACTTCAATGTCCCAGTTCAGATCAATTCAATCCAAAAAAATGACTAAAACAACACGACATCCAAGGATTCTCCAAGGCTTTAAAACATGTGAACAAACCGAACCTACCCTCTGGTTATTTAACATAGCTATGGAAAATGGCCCATGAAAATAGATGATTAAAATATATATATATATATATGATTATTAACCATTAAAAATGATGATTTCCCATAGCTACGTTAAATAACCAGAGGGTAATGGTTCCCCCAAGAAATCTCACCATTGGCCCATCCTCCAACCCCTAAGCCAGCCGCACCTTCACCTGGGTGGCGTGGGAGATCATGGGAGTACCATCTGCCTGCGGTCCGAACGACACCCTGGACCGGGCCTTTTAAGGGTGATTTGAAGACTCAAATGGAAGTATCATTGATAAATATGGATAACTGATATCTCTAGATATAGTCTATGATATAGTTCTGGTACATCCATGTTCTTGGGGTTTTGCCATCATTTGGGCCTGGTTTCGTTTCCGAAGATGGGAACATGATTGACAAACGAAGGTAGGTTGATGATGATAGGCTCCTAATCGCTAGGCTCCTGAGTCTATTCCACTCATCTAACTGAACTGATCATTGACACTGATAGGCTGATAGGGCATGGCAATGTGCCCCCAAAGATAGCTAAGTTGCTTTGTTTCATGATCTGAAGGATTGGGTTTATGGTACTATATCATATCTATAGAGAGGGAAGGAGGTATAAACCAACAAACATAATTGGGGGGCGTCACCTTTGAAGTGGCTAATAACACAGTGATCTAATTGGCGATATTCTACTGATCTAACTGTGGTGTTTCATCGAGCCTGAAATGTGGCTGTTGCTGTTGCGCGCAGAAGAGTGAAAACTTCATTGATGCATAATTCACAAACCTGAAATACTTTGTTATTATCAATAGTTGAAAGAATTATTCAAAAAAAAACATAAAATGATACTTCAGTGAAATTGGTCGTTTTTTTTTGGATAATTCTCCTACGAAGCATATGGCCAGGTGAGGTCGCATACGGACATGGGACTGTGGCGAAGAGCGAATGAGATGCCCAGATCAACAAGCTCGATAGTAAACATACCTTGGATTTGCTAAAGGGGTCCCAAAAAATAAACAATATTCACTCTAGATTGCCCATTTCTGGTGGATTTTCGGAAAATGAATATAATCACCGACCAAACAAAGCCAGGAATATCATACAATATAACCCCCGGAAATCAAAAAAGGATAGTAAACATATCACTATTCTCCAATCGGATTGTCCTTTTCGATATTTTGGAGGTTGCTATCATATAATACTCCCCTTCATAAGAAAAGAAACAGCTTACCCATCACCAGTCGGTTTATCCCATGATTTTGCTGCTGATTTCAACCCCATGTTGGCAATGGCAACAAATCGCCCGTCGAGCACAGGCAATCCTCCCACAATCCCATCATTTCATATCATTTCCAGGTTTCCATGGTGTTTTGTTCCATAATTTCCATGGTGTCCAAGGTGCATCCAGGCTAAAAAACTCTGTCTACATCTTGTCATCTTATTTGGTGACTATGGGCATTGGCAACCGCCAGGCCTTGTCGGGGAGGTCCACCTTCCAACGCCCAAAGCCTTCGTTTTGGAGCGGCGTGCTGTTCTGCCAGCCGTTGAACCTGGGGCGTCCCCAAGGCCGAGATTCATGGGGCCATATGGGGCCCCTAGGGGCCCCGCTTAGCACCACATGTTGTCCTCACAATGGGTATCTGAATCTCTATGATGACCATACCCCAAGAACTCGGCAACTTACCAAGTGGGGGATATTACCCAAAATTCGGAAGTTGAACGAGAAAATGTTTGCAGTTTGCATCCATTGGAAATCTCGTAACAGGAACCAATCAAAATGACATGCCCCAGTGATGTTTTGAAGGGACTGCATCATGGAAACGATGGCAATGATACAATTACTACTTGGGGGTCCGTCCTGGGCATTGTAAGTGGGTAGCAACATGCAAGAACCATCTAAAAACAAGTGAAGTACCCAAGTTAAGTACCCCAGTTGCAATGATATACCCTCTGGCAATCAAACATGGCTAGCTGGAAAATCTCGCATTTACAGTAGGTCGATGACTTTTTTGGTGAAGTTTCACCTCGCTTTACCATCATCTAGTTCGGACTTTTTCCCCCGGAAAAAGTAGCTATCGACACCAGAGGCTACCACCCATAGCTTTGGAGGCCAGTTGAACCTCCGTTAACCTGTCGACCTCCCAAAATCACCAGGACCACCAGGCTTCCCAACTCACCGATCAAAAAGACCTGCTTCGCGTTGGGAAGCCATTCACGGTACACGTATCCACCTGGCTCCAACGACCCAACTCCAGTTGGTCATTCGCGTTGAGAAAAACATCCTTTTTAGCCTTCTGGTCAACGAACAGTTCGATATGGAAAATGGACCATGTATGGATGATTTACCAAAAAAAAGATGGTGATTTTCGAAATTGTCATGTACCGGTAACAGTTTACCAGAGGCATCCAGCAACCAAATGGGGAGCCCACCTTCGACGCGGTTGAAGCCGAAAATCTTGTAACCTTCGGCAAACCTTGGAGATTCCAGTGGGTGAACCGCCAGGGCCACAACTTTTCATGTGGGGTTCTTAAGTCATGATCCCCAAAAAATATGGTTTCAATACTAAGTCATGGTAATGTTCATGACTTGGATGATTTGGGATCCGCATTTCTCATGGTTGTTGTAACTCATTGTGGGGCAAAATGCGACTATCATTGCTGGTTAACACATCTGAACACATGTTAAGAACCTATTTTGATCTGGGCAAATTAGAATCATTCACAAACATGAAAAAATCGGCCTATTTGGAATGATTTCTCTTATTAATCATGATTCCAGTGAGAACAGTGAGGTCGTTATAATTTGCCCAGATTTTGATGCTTGACTCCTTATATTTTTTGCGTCGTTTCTTCCACATCAAAGGCCACGGAACTGGTCCATGCCGCCCTCCTTCTCTTGCAACTCGTTCTTCCACCACCTTGCTGTCTTCAGAATCCGCCCATGTTTGATAGTTTCAGAATCAGTAAGCAATAAATAAATCATTATACCTTCATATACACCATGCTAACATATAATAATATCATATACAATCCTCCTACTTTTATTTTGAGTACCAACAGTTGGGGAAATTGGACCAATCTCAGCGTGCAGTCATGAAGTCTCGGGCGCCTGTAGCCATTGACACGATCCCAAATTTGACCTTCACAGCCACGGAGTGTCGGATCGATCTCAAAGATCTTCAACGCCATGATGAACCACTGGCAATCGATGGAAAGAGGGATGGGGAAAAAAAGCACAGCAAAGGATTTTCCCCGGAAATGCTGACGTTGGTCCAAAATGATGGAGACTTGCACAGTGTTCCTGACAAAAGTGCAACTGCGAAATGTTTTGCTGAGCAAATAATATATAGTTGAACAGTAGTATAAATGTCTGCGCTGGCATTCTGACAAGAGCTTGTGATGCTGAATGCTGCAATCCCCGTGGAACCATGAAGTGCATCAACGCAATTCGACATGGCTCACCGGTTTTGAAGGAATGCTTCACCTATACCATGCATCTGTGCCTACAGCAAAAAACAGGTTGAGTCAATCAGGATCTGCATCATGAAGATCCACTTCATCACTGGGCAGTGGAGTCATCACACGTCGAAGCTTACTTTCTGCCTCTTTTAAAGAGACAATCGTTGATTTGGGGATGGGTCAAGTTATCTATGAAATTACCATATTTGGGGAATCGACATCCACTAACCATCTTTTTTTTTTTGTACCATCCGGGTGCCAGGGTTGAAAAAACTCCAACCCATTTTGAGAAGGAAAACCCCTGTTTCAACTTCCATGCAGGTTTTCTTTGTCGCAGTGAAACGTTGCTGATTAAAAAGTTGGAGTGAAACATTGACCCTTGGATTGTCATCCCCCCGACGAAAATACCACAGCTGTGGGTTTTAGTTTTTGAACGCAGACCGTGATATCAAACTTAATATCAAACACCACAATTCCATGGTCCCACTTATGTGGAAATTCATGGAAAATTCCTACATCCACCATGGTCTCTTCGGGGCTGATAACCCTCCCGCGCGCTCAGGATGGCTCCTGAGAACGGCATTGATGTGCTCAACACAAGTTGTAGAAAGTTCACTTCAAGAATGACAATGAAACAATGCATGTTATGTATTATTATCCATTATTAACCATAATTAACCATTATTATCCATTAAACAATGGTTAGTATTATTACCCAATGAATGTATGCGATTTGCGCGGGATCGATCTTAAATTCTGTATGAAAAAAGTCCAATGATATGGATGTATAAGGGTACATGAACCGGTACGAAAACCAGTTCCTAGCATTCCAACAAAGGACCAGTCCCTGACACCAAGATTTCCTCGCGTGAAAAAAAAAAAAACATCGGTTCCTAACAGCAAGAAAATCTATGAATGGTAATTGCCCTATTTATGATCCTACTAATCGTATACTAAGAGTATAGTAAACCAATAATTATCTATTAATGATCCATTGGTCATCTTTTTTGGCCATATAACCATTATAAGTAGCTAGTAATGTAATATGTTGCAGTCAGTATGTTGTAGTTATTAATGGCTATGTTAATGACTATGTTTTATGGCTGTATTAGTAGTATTACAGTATATAGTAAAATTATTGATGAACAGTATTTCCAAATATTTAATACTAATCATTAAATATGAATGACTAACTATGTTAATCACCGTTTATTCATTGTATAATACCAATCTATAGATCACTGTGATACCATTTGTTATATAGCAGTTCGTATCAATTGGTTATCTATGATTATATTTATTATTGGGTTTTGTGTTTATCAATGTGGTAGCAGTACTACTGAACACAAGATTACTAGTATTATTGGATTAACAATTAAACCACTATTAGTACCCAGTGAATGTCCATTTGACGCGGGGCTGTAAGTGCGTCGTCGTCGTCGGCGGCGGCGGCGGCTGTCGCTCACACTCATACGAGGTGTAGTGCTAAGATATCTACAGCTGTCACGGCCTGATTCTCAGGGACCCCAAGCACGTCCCAAAATTCGGCTACTGGAACGACCTGAGATGGCCCATCCCGCAGATGCACTTCAAGGTCGAGCTCTCAGCGTAGCCCCTGGCTGTATAGCCCCGGAAAAAGCCTGGACTCCTGGGACTCCCGGGGGTTTATTGGCAACCCAGGGCCGCTTCCCTGGGGTCTAGTGGCGGACGTGGGGCTTCTTGGCTTTGGCCCTTCCCAATGGCTGGCGCCGAGCACCTCAGAAGAAGGCGCCAAAGGCGCTGCTTTTTTTGGGGGGATCTTTTGACGGCAATTTTTTGCCGGTGCCGAACTAACCATCCAAAACGTAATCGACATGTGGCGCCGCAGGCGCTGCTTTTTTATATTTTTACTACTATGTTACCGGCGGCGGCACCGTGCAGCTCGGCATCATCAGCAAGGTCTTCCCAACGTGTCATCGGGCCAGCGTTGCAAGAGCGAATTGAAATAAATATACTTCTTGGTTACTAGTTACCTACAGAGCCTGAGCCGTAAAATCGCCAATTTGGAAAATGTTGGTCTGGAATGCATCAAAAGCCTTCAAACAGTGAGGGGCGACAGTAAATCTGGCACAAATATGAATTGATGGTATCCTCCCTGCCGAACAAAACATGTTTTAGGCTGAATTAGTGCTAACAGGAAAGAAGCAAGAGCTAACAGGAAACAGAAAAAAACAACCCAGGGAAGGAAAAACACCAGGGAAAGAAAAACACCAAGCCGGGAATAGAAAACACCAAACTGGGAAAGGAAAACCGGAGGGAAGGAAAAGCAACAAACAGGGAAGGAAAAACACCATACCCCCATTTTTGACACTGATGAATCTTATATAAACCATTATAATATCCGCTTATTACTTATTCTAGACATTAATTACCCATTATACATTAATCACCTATTACAGTAATCTATGGCAGTTCATTCATATCCATCGGTGGTTTATAATTACCACTATTCATTATCCATTAACTATCCATTGATTTCCATTGATTATAGTTTATCTATAATCATTATCACCATAATTACCATAACGACTCTTAATGCACTACTACATACTACTACTTAGATACCCTGATTATTGTTATCTATAGTCATTATTATCACTAATAAAAAAACTACTCTTAATGCACATAACTGCTTGGATATCCTAGTCATATACAAAAAACTGTGGAAAATCACCATTTTTGATGGGTAAATCAACTGTAAATGGGTAAATCAACTTTAAATCGCCATTTTTCATCGGTAAATCAGCTATAAATGGGCCATGTTCAATCGCTTTTCGGCAGCTCTCCTCCAGCGTCTCCTCCAGCGCCAGGCACTTCACCATGAAGCCGCGCACCGCGCTGAGTGGCTCGGCGGACAACTCGAACCTCGGCGGCTCGACTCGGCGCTGGCGAAGATGGGGAAAACAACGCGAAAATGCTGGGTGAACCCAGAAACATGCAGATCTTAGCCCAAAAGTTGGGGTTGAACTCCGAGAAATCTTGGGGTTTATCGAGAAAACTGGGCACTTGGCAAAGAAAAATGCTAGTGTTACTAGGGAAAGTTATCGATTTGACCAACAAAACTGGTGGCGTCGCCTGCAAAACGTGGTGATTGAACCAGCAAAAACTGTGACCCTACCAACAACATAGGCAAATGACATGACATTATATGACCTTGCATGGCAATACACTACAGCACATGACATGACATTGCATTTCCTTAGGTTTCAGTCCATGACACTACACGACATGACATTACCTTACTTCACATCCTTACTTATGGCAGCTGCGCGCATGGGAAGGGGAAGGGGACATAGGAGGAAAAAAAAAAGCAGAGTTGTGCACATTCATGCTGCCAGAGGTCACTAACACCTATTCAAGCCCATTCTCTCCCATCTGCATGTTTTAAAGTTACAAATTATGGGTCAAACTTAGGAGTACAAGCAGCTAAAATCGTGAAATTAATCACTGGTCATGCGGGGTTATGCAAAGAAATGGGGAACAGAATCATTAAAACTGCTGAGAAGATCAACAAGGATGCAGAGATCAAACCGACAAAAGTGATGCTGCAAACAAAAACTGGCATACCATCAATGGGAATTCCAGGATCCTAAAATGGAGGTACTGTACCATATAAGGCCATATTTCCTGGGGATATTCCCTTACATAGGCCTAAGAAATAGGCCTTATATATGGTAGGTACCTCCAATCAATCGGTTCCTGAAATGGCCAGTGATACCGTCCCTAAATGGATCAGACATGTCTTAGCCAGCTATGGATCAGAAAAACGTGACCAGACATGTGTGCCATCGTCAAAACGTGGTATATGGTTTTTTGTTGGGTCATCCAGAAGTCATCCAGCCTACCCTCTGGTAAACTAACATAACTATGGAAAATCACCATGTTCAATGGGTAAATCACCTATCAATCACCATGTTCAATAGCTTTTTGTTTGTTTGTTTACCGGTATTTCATGGGAAGCCAACAACATGATGGTTTGCTACACAGAATGATATCCCTAAATGATACTGTTTCCATCCCCCAAATCTCCGGGATACTGCTGCTTGAGCAAGCCGTAACTTCACCAACCGGCACCAACCGAAAAATGTCTTCGCCCTGCTGAGTTCCAGTGCTGCATTTCAGGGTACAGCTGAAACTGCAGCTGAGCTCCCACCTCCTGACACGAGAATTCTCAGAAAACATTGCTACAGGAAGGGCCACATTCCTAGTTTAAGCCCCCTTCAAAATAGGGCGTTTACAAACTAGTATTTTGGTAAAGTAAGTATTATGAGCGAAAATCCAAGTAAGTTGGTTTAGAACTAGGCTAACGATCGATCTAAATGATGAATATTACAGTGCGTGTGTATGTATATATGTATATACCATCTGGTTATTTAACATAGCCATGGAAAATCACCATTTTTAATATATAGGTAAACCATCTACAAATGGGCCATCTATACCATGGCTATGTTAGTCATAACCAGAGGGTATATAACTAGGTACATGGGGTTATAAACCGACTTGTAACTGGGGGCTCTTCCTTGCATATGAAGCCTCCAAAATCGAAGAAAAACGTGATGTAAATCCAATCATGACCTTGTTGGGAAAGTAGAGGGGCCGGCTTGGCCCGGCTTGGTCACCATTCCGGTAAATTTAATCACGACCTCACTGCGACCGAACCCTGGAATCATGGTCTATTTTTGGGAAATCATCCCCCAAATGGCCGAACTATTCAGGTTAGTGACATATTATAAATTACCCAGATTCATGCTTGTGAATGGTGTTATCATGTGATCACTCAATCAACCAGAAGTGTACCCTGCATCTATGATGCAATCTTACTAGATCTATGAAAAACATCGAGCTGTGCATCTTATGTATCTTACCCTTATGTATCCTGTCCTTTGCATCATCTACCTCAGGACCTCTCATCTGGTAAACCCAAAATTACTTGGCTTTGTCTCAATAAACCCACGAAAGTTCGGCGATATCATCGGGTTTGCCACATAACTTATCCAAATGGAGAAATTGATCAGGTTGGCAGTTTCACATCGAAATGCACTGATGCTCATCCCCTTTTAAAGGCGAAATCATGGCTGGCATGGTTGTTGAAGTCTCTTTTTTTTTACTGCGTAAAATAGGTTTGTCTGAAAATAGGGTACCTCATTGTTTGATGGTTTATCCTCATTTTCCCGATAAATATATGTAAGTCTCACCATAAATTATGGATACATATCCCCGATTTTTAGACCTCCCATTGATTTCCCATTTCGCAAGCCCAGAAATGTCCTTTTTTGTTAGTTACATAATGTTACATATCCCAATGTATCCCAAAAAATCCCCTAGGGTGGTGATCCCCCAGTCAGTTGCTTCATGAATCCCCTCGTCATCCCTTCTCTAGTTCGATGTACCATAAACCAACTCAGCGATCCTTCAGGATCCTCGCCTTGCAATTCGTGCCAGTCCGTTGAACATTCCATCTGCAAATAGGTCCATTATACCATCATTCACCATATGAAGTTCCCTTTTTTCCTTGCTGAAATCACCAAAAAAACCGGTTGAAATAGGTCCATTATACCATCATTCTTGATGAAATCACCATAAAAACCGGTTGATTAAAAAAAAAAAACACCATTGAACTGTTGCTATTTCAGTCACCTCGGCCGGTCGCCTTCAACATCTTGGCTTGTTCTGCCGCCAAGGTTGGCTCCACCACGCCATCCCGGGCACCGTGGCACCACAGGAGTTCCTCATACCAGGCACCGTGGTAAAATTGGCGAAAAAAATGTACAAAACACGGCTATCAAGGAATGGTATCTGATTCAGGGTTCTTTGAATTTGATTTGGAGTGGAATTTTGAATTGCAATCATGGCTATGGCAGAATTCTTGATGGCTTAGGGGTCTTCTATGTTCTTCTTGGGCTGTCGTTTTAACTGGTCTTTACTGTAAGTCTTTTCGTGATGGATTCTTTTTTGCAGGGTTGTATGGTTAGTGATTTTTTTCCCCAAATAGCTTGGTGCAAAATGGGAGATACGACAAAATGGCCTTCATAAGATGGAATGGGGTGCAAGGATTTGAGACCACAGCCATTAAGCTGAGTTTTCAGTGTCAAAATCACATTCAAAATTGAGAGATAATTGTAGCAATCATTAATTTGGATATGGGTGTTCAAACAACCCAAAATCATTCAATCCCCCCCGTGAGTGTTGGGCAAATCCCCCCAAAGAAGAAAACCAACTCTCCAGTATCTCGAAGTAGTGGAACGATCCATTTACTCCCGATGGTTCGTTTTTGGGTACTCAATTGTATCCTATGATTCCCGCTATCTGTTCCTGAACATCCACCATTTCTAGGATAAGGTTCCAACATGTTCCAACACGCAGTAGTAACACAACTACAGTAGTAAGTAGTGTAGTCACACGCGTCCCATCAAAGTGTTGTTTACAAGTTGTTCACGGTCCCACTCACCAAACGGTGCACCTCTAATTCCCATTTCCCATTGACTATCACCAATCGGTATCCAACATTATGCAAGTGTATCTTGTTGTCCTCATTGCCCAATTGAAAATCCATTGTTGTTAATTCCGTGGTTGTATGATTTATACCTTGTATCCCGCCAGTTGTGTTTTGGATTCCCAAATATTCCGTATCCCCTACAATCTCCAGTTGTACCCCAGTATCCAATTGGAGACACGTATCAAAAAAAAAATATAAATGCATCAAAAAAAAATATCCAGCACGCATCAAAAAAAAAATATATGCATCAAAAAAAAAATATCCTGGTGCCACTGTGTGAGACCTCGGGGGTTTCGTGCTGCAAACCTAGATCAAAAAAAAATATCCGTATCAAAAAAAAAAATATCGTAGTAGTAGTAGTAGTAGTAGCAGTAGTAGTAGTAGTATAGGAGTAGCAGTTGTAGTAGTAGTAGTAGTAGAAGTAGTAGTAGTAGTAGTAGTGGTAGTAGTAGTAGCAGTAGCAGTAGCAGTAGCAGTAGCAGTAGCAGTAGCAGTAGTAGTAGTAGTAGTAGCAGTAGCAGTAGTAGTAGTAGTCGTAGTCGTAGTCGTAGTCGTAGTCGTAGTCGTAGTCGTCGTCGTAGTCGTAGTCGTCGTCGTAGTCGTAGTAGTCGTCGTAGTCGTCGTAGTAGTCGTCGTCGTCGTAGTAGTAGTAGTAGTAATGGTAGTAGTAGTAGTAGTAGTAGTAATGGTAGTAGTAGTAGTAGTAGTGGTAGTAGTAGTAGTAGTAGCAGTAGTAGGAGCAGGAGCAGCAGCAGCAGTAGCAGTAGCAGTAGCACATAGGCACAAGTCTCGCTCGATGGATATCAACAAGATGAAAAGTAACCCAAATAAACGATGATGTTTATGCAAAAAGAAAGGAATAGTAGGTATAGCAAGGGGAACCGGTTAAAAAATAAAAGCGGGTGGGGGGGGTGCAGGGGGGAGGGCGCAGCGCCTCCCCACGCAATGCGTACCAAGAGAGAAGCACATAGGCACAAGTCTCAATGGATATATTGCAAGTAAGAACGACAAGATCAAGAAAGAAGCACATAGGCACAAGTCTCGATGGATATTTTGAAAGAAGAAGAAAGAGAAAATGAACCCTAAGAAACGATGCTTATGCAAAAAGAAAGAATAGTAGGTGCAAGGGGAAACCGGTTTAAAAATAAAGCGGCGGTGGGGGTGCAGGGGGGAGGGCGCAGCGCCTCCCCGCAATGCGTACCAAGAAGAGAAGCACATTAGGCACAAGTCTCAATGATATTATTGCCCCAAGTTTAAGAACGAGAAGATCAAGAAAGAGGCACATAGGCAGTAGGTCTCGATGGATTATCAACAAAAATGAAAATACCACAAAATAAACCGATGATGCTTATTGCAAAAAGAAGGAATACGTATGGTAGCAAGCGAACCGGTTTAAAAAATAAAACGGTGGGGGTTGCAGGGGGAGGGCGCAGCGCCTTCCCCCCGCAATGCGTACCAAGAGAGAAGCACATAGGCACAAGCCTCAATGGATATATTGCAAGTAAGAACGAGAAGATCAAGAAAGAAGCACATAGGCACAAGTCTCGATGGATATCAACAAAAGATGAAATTAACCCAAATAAACGATGATGCTTATGCAAAAAGAAAGGAATAGTAGGTAGCAAAGGGAACCGGTTTAAAAATAAAAGCGGGTGGGGGGGTGCAGGGGGGAGGCCGCAGCGCCTCCCCCCGCAATGCGTACCAAGAGAGAAGCACATAGGCACAAGTCTCAATGGATATATTGCAAGTAAGAACGAGAAGATCCAGAAAGAAACACACAGGCACAAGTCTCGATGGATATCAACAAAGATGAAATTAACCCAAATAAACGATGATGCTTATGCAAAAAGAAAGGAATAGTAGGTAGCAAGGGGAACCGGTTTAAAAATAAAAGCGGGTGGGGGGGTGCAGGGGGGAGGGCGCAGCGCCTCCCCCCGCAATGCGTACCAACAGAGAAGCACATAGGCACAAGTCTCAAAACAAAATGTGAGCGCATGGTTCATGTATGTTTTGGTATGTTTTGGTCACAAATCTATGTGGCTCTGACTTGCATCTCAACTCAGGATTTCTGCAACGGGTTCCGAACGAGGCCAAAAACGATGCCAAAACGAGGCCCGAACAAGGCCAGAAAATAGTTTTGGAACCCCCTCAGCTCTAGCAGCTCAGCAGCACTTTGCACGCTGCCCGTGGTGGCTGCAAGCTGCAAGTGTTGACTGCACACATGGTCCTTCCTTCCTTCTTTCCTTCCTTCCTTCCCTTCGTTCCCCCCTTGCATCCTTCCCTCCTTCCCTCCTTCCCTCCTTTCCTCCTTCCCTCCTTTCCTCCTTCCCTCCTTTCCTCCTTCCCTCCTTTCCTCCTTCCCTCCTTTCTTCCTTCCTTCCTTTCGTCCTTCCCTCCTTTCCTCGTTCCCTCCTTCCCTCCTTATTTCCTTTCTTCCTTCCTTCCTTCCTTCCTTCCTGCCTGCCTGCCTGCCTGCCTGTCTGCCTGCCTGCCTGCCTTCCTTCCTTCCTTCCTTCCCTCCTTTTCTCCTTTCCTCCTTCCCTCCTTCCCTCCTTCCCTCCTTTCCTCCTTCCCTCCTTTCCTCCTTCCCTCCTTCCTTCCTTCCTTCCTTCCTTCCTTCCTTCCTTCCTTCCCTCCTTTCCTCCTTCCCTCCTTTCCTCCTTCCCTCCTTTCTTCATGGTCATTTATTTTTTTTTGATGCATTTATATTTTTTTTTGATGCATTTATATTTTTTTTTGATGCATTTATTTTTTTTTGATGCTTCTCCCATCCAATTGCATCCTATGTCCTATATTTTTTCAACTTTGGACATCCAATTGTTGTTAATTCCATGTCCCAAACATTGCCCACACATAGTAATAGTTTTCATGGCATTTGGCATGCAAATAGTAAGAGTCCATGTTTGGGACCTTAGTCCATGTTTTGGAACTTCACAATGGAAAAAATGTAACTGGATCTGGATCGTTCATATACTCATATGGGTGTTTCCATAAATGAAGGTACCCCAAATGGATGGTTTATACTGGGCAAAACCTACTAAAATGGACGAACACTGGGGGTACCCCTTCAGGAAACCTCCGCATGTCGCTGATCATTTCATTCCCCAAACATTCACCGTATGCCATGGTCAAGTTACGATGAATACCCGTCGTCTTCACAATAAACACGGGACTCCAGGCTAGGATCATGGCTGAAACCGACAATGGATTGATGGTCCCAACCCCTGGGGGGAAAATCACCCATATAACTTGACCATGGCAGATTTGGTGAGCTTTATTTCAAGTCGTTAAGGTGAGACATGGGTAATGCTAACCCGGATTCTGCTACACCCCAGTTGATTGGGGGAGACGCAAATTTTTACTCAATGTATCACTCTTTTGGCTGGAACCCCCACAATTCTCGGGGCTATGCATCCTCAACATGAATCAAAATCCCAATGCAAACGTAAATCTCATTAAACCCCATCAAATTCCCCATTCAATCCCATCAAATCCCAGCAAATCTCGACATGTCCCGTATTCTCCCCATATCTTCACCGCCACGACGACAAATTTCAATGCCCTGGGCACCCTGGCCGTTGTGATGCCGCCTTCCCGCAGCCGATCCTCCAACTCCTGACACGGAAAGCAGTGCCAAAACTCACATGGAGAATGCACCAGGAAATCTGGAGAAAATCATCAACATAAAATTGGGATTATATTGTTTAATATCGCGTATGTATATATATATATTGTATATATATATATTGTGTATATATATATATATATTTACATATTGTGTATATATATATATATTATATACATATTGTGTATATATATATATATTGTATATAATTGTAAGAACACAACATAATTAAATGGGTATGTTTTGTATATTTGGGATTCAATGATTTATATATATATATAATCAACAATTGTATCTAACGAGAGTTAATCCACAGTCAAACAAAATGGGATGTCACCTAGAAAAGAACACCCAAATCTGCATTTTAGCGATACACGAAGATGGAAATGGACCCATGGATTTTCACCCGCCAAGAGAAAAGGGGATCACATGTGCCATGGACAAGTCACATGGTGTCGCCTTGTCATGTTGGGAATCCAAACGTAGTGAGTACCCTCTGGTAAACTAACATAGCTATTGGAAATGGCCATTTATAGTGGATTTACCCATTCAAAATGGTGATTTTCCATAGTTACGTTAGTTTACCAGAGGGTATCTAAATCCGCAATGGGGAGATGACAATCCTCCAAAAACAGGGCATTTGTTTACCAAGTTTTGACGATAGCCGCAGGGACGAATTTCAGCTAACATCCACAAGGTCTGATGATGGGAATGTTTTGATCAACTGACAACTGATATCAACTGTTTCACAAAGGAACCAAGCTATTGATAGAAAGACCTTGGATGATTGGGGGTCCCCTGGTCTTTACAGGATGCAATCGTTTCATCTTATTTCATGAGTAAGTTGTTTGAACTTTTCAACTCTGGAACAGCTATGACTCATAGTCCTCGAAGTTACTTGCTTACCTTCTGGTAAACTAACATAGCTATAGAACATCACCATTTTGAATTGGTAAATCAACTCTATGAATGCGGTAGCTCCATAGTTTTGTTACCCTTCGGTAAATTAACACATAGACCCTGCCAGTCATCGGGGTTGGAAGACTAGTGAAACATAGTGAAACCACTATAAATTGATCATTTTATATCATTTTCAGGGTCGAACTGCTAATTTACCAGAGGATAAATTACCAGAGGGTAATCATCTGGACATGGCTCTGATTTTTTGAAAAAATTCCAAATTCCCCAGGATTTGGGCGATGAAATTGGGTGTAAATCCCCGTGGGGAAAACCCTTTTTTTTATGTCAAGTTGTTTTTATTCCTGAAAAATATCAAGAAAATCATGAAGAAATGGTAAAATTATGTAAAATTCATAAATAAAACATCACACAGAAAAATCCGCAAATCTCGCTTGGTCAACAACGCTTCCCACCTCCTGACAGGGCAACCAAGCGCTGCAAATCACGCCTGGCACCGTGGCCCCAGTTGTGGCGCTACCACACGTCAGCAACAAACCCAAGGCTGGTTGTCTATTTCATTTTGGGGACTTCTTCAGTTTCGAAAAAGTCCTCGGTTTTCAGAAACTGGAAAAAGGTTTTCACGAATCTAGTGGTAGTGTACCATTGTTTCATACTGGTGGCGGAAAAAAGGTGGAGCAGGTGACCAGCCGAATTGGTGGCTGACGGAGGTGGTGGAGCCGGCAGTTTCGGCTAGAGTTCGGGCCACCGGGCTCTGGGAGCACCTCTGCGAAAGGGAGAAGATATAGTACGTAGTGACAGTGAGTTGTTAAAACAGATGGATGTGGGTCAAAATGGAAGACCTAGGGGACCACAGATGTTAGTCTAGTTTAGTACTAACCATCCAATTATTGAGGTACCTAATTTTGACCCATACCCAGATATGGAATTCAGGAGATGTAGGGTGTCTGATGATGTGGCCAAGGTATTTGATACGGGAGTCTGAGATACGGATAGATGATGGAATGCAGGAGGGAAGAACAGGATAGGAGCGGGAGAGGAGATATTCGTTTGAGCACAGAGAATCAGGGGGTTGAAGAACCCGATGATAGTAAGGGTTTTTAATTTGGAAGATTTGTCGGAGGGTTCTATAATGGAGAGAATCGATTTTAGTAAGTTGGGCAGGAGAATGGTTGGTGAATAAAAAATATAATACTATATGAATGGTTAAACATATATATATATATATTATGTATGGTTATGTTGTGATGATGTATGATGATATTGATAATCGCAAGTGTAATGTAGGTAGTACAACCCTTATGCATGATCATTAACCAGCCGACGCTTTTGAAACCGCTCACTGGCATTGCCTGACGTAGGAACACCGACGTTTGCACGCATCTCCCCAATATGTTTGATGTGCCAAAGAAGGAACCAAAAATGGATAGATCAAATACGAAACCATGGATTCCTTTGGGGGTGATTGAAGGGAGATATCCATGACAGCCATCAATATAATATATATATATACATATATATACAAGTAGAGCCCGGGCAAGCCGGCTGACGGAAGTTTCGAGAGAGGGAAGAATCTATAGAGACAAGGGAGAGCCTGTAGGAACGCCGCCTGACCGCCTGACCGCCTATAGAAAACACATGGTTTCGTGCGATTTAGAACACCCAAAAATCACCCCTCAAAGCGTTGGAAGCAGCCATTCCAATGCAAAATGCAAGCCTGCATCACCAAACACAACGGCACAGCGCATGAAATCTTTCAAAGATCACCTCCGTGCAGCGCTGACAATATGGGGACCACGAACGCAAACCGCACCCGTCGCACAGACGAGGTTCCCCCCACCGACGCCTGGAGCCACTTTGTACGAGAAAACACTGGGTTTCGTGCGATTTCTAACATCCAAACATCAGCTTGACTCAGCAGTTCCACTGCGATCTGCACTCACTGCCTTGCAAATCACATTACAACTGCGTCGACTCCACCTTTCTGCTCTCTTCGCATCTGGACAATGCCCAGACATCTCTACTCTCTCACATATCTATTCTCTCCATCTCCAATCTCTGCACATCCCTACTCTCTCTCACATCCCTACCCTCTCCATTTCTAATCTCTCCACATCCCCCCTCTCTCCATCTCTAATCTGCGCACATCCCTACTCTCTCCATCTATAATTAATTTCCATCCCTACTCTCTCCATCTCTAGTCAAGTCTCTCCATCTCTGATCTCTCCACATCCCTACTCTCTCCATCTCTAATCTCTCCACCTCTGATCTACTCTCATTTCTAATCTCTCCACATCCCTACTCTCTCCATCTCTAATCTCTCCATTCCCTACTGATATGACTGACATGACTTGACTGTTTGATTGGCAACCTTTCCCCCCAACCATGGAAACAAAATCCAAGATCGTAAAGTTTTCTCGTGGTCACAAAAAAAAACGTCGAAACCTTTGAAAAGTCTGCGGCTTTTTTCCTCACCAAAAACGGTTGATGGTCAGCGCGCGGCCTCCCGCGAAGGGCGTCCTCGATTGAAGCACCTAAAGATTTACGGCCCATGGATACCCATGGTGTGGGGCTGAAAATGGGTGTATACCGGCAAAAAGAAGACTATATGGATGTTTCCTAGTACCCCTAAATCATCAATTTGTTATAGGATTTTCATGGATTTTCCATTATAAACCATCCATTTTGTGGATTTCTCATTTATGGAAACCACTTTATGACAATGATTGACAATGATAGAGGGAAAATAATGTTTTACGAGCTCTGGATTTTGGAGGTTTCCCTAAGACAAATCCACTTTCCCATTATGACACTTGCCACGCCACCTGACCGATAGGCACTTTTTGGACCGCGTAGTCTGAAGATATCTGAAGGCTGTACTAACTTGGGTATGGATCACACGTCAAAGCCCCATGATCAAAATGCCTGGTACTGCATATTCACCCCAAATCTGGCAAGTCTCATGGGGGGTTCACCCCTGTTTTCAGGCTTCCGATCCATGCCCAAACAGGGCGCCAGGCCGTCGGAATGCGGCGGACCCAAGGCGCACAACTCTCCCAAGGGCACCTTTGACATATCTTGGATCTTGGGGCAGAAATCGAGCAAGGTGCCTTTCGGTGAAACATGGTGAAACTTCAGATTTGGCTGCATATGAGTGCATATGTATGTTAAGCCTGTTTGCGGACATCCAGTCAGCTCCAGGTGGTACATAGCACGGACTTCAAACAGCGAGGCCAATTGGCTGGTAGCCTTGACCACCACAGGACAGACCCTTCTCTTGGGAGTTTCAATTCTGCCGGGAGGGCCAAGAGATTTCAGTAGAGCACAATGTTAGGCGAATACCTTGCAGAAAGTTGATGAGACGCCTTTTGTTTTATTTCTTGAAACGAAACTTCATAACTTCATGCACGTGGAAGTTTTTGGAAGATACCAAAAAAACCTCCTGGCACAGTGGCAATGGTTAGACAATTCTCCAGGACAGCACAGACACTGGTACCGTGCTCTCCTGGATTTCTGGCGCAAATAAACCTGTCTCCAGATAATACTCAGTATGAAACAAGACATCAAACATCCGCACATCTCATGATGTCACATCTTTAAAAGGTTACAATGAGACAGGTTCAAAGCGGCACTGGAAGAAGCGAGGCTGCAGCAATGATGTCCTTTTAGCAAAAAACAGAGGCGATGATTTGGCATTCTGATTCCTATGATTTGCCTATATCGTTGCATGAAGGACACCTGCAGCCGGGATTTTCGTGTTGCAATCCTTCGCACAGTCGGCTAGGCCTGCGAAGTCCTTTCCTCCACATTTTTTGTGTCTCCCGAGTTAACATTCGAAGCCCTCGAAGCCCTCGAATCCCTTGAGGACTGGGTTCCCTGGTCCCCTTCGCCATGGCGAGGTGGTACGCGGCCTTGGCCTACTTGGCCCACGGGGCCGGCGGCACCAAGACCAAGAGCACCCGGAAAGCCTTGGGTGTTCATGGTCATCGCCAGCTGAAAGTTGACATTTGTAGGCTACAAGGGGAATATCTAATCATCTACTTGTCTACTCATCTAAATATCCCGGCAAGAGACCCCAAACAGCGTGGGGGAATGGGAGGATAATGTACGATAATGTGGATGATGTTGATGATGTTGTTGATGATGATGATGGTGATGATGATGAAGACGATGACGATGACGATGACGATGACGAAGATGCTGATGATGATGATGATGATGAGGATGATGATGATGTTGATGATACTGATGATGATGATGATGATGATGAAGACGATGACGATGACGATGACGAAGATGCTGATGATGATGATGGTGATGATGATGGTGATGGTGATGATGATGATAATGATGATGATGATGGTGATGTTGATGTTGATGGTGGTGAGGATGAGGACGACAGTGCGGAAGATGAAGTGGAGGATGATAAGGTGGAGGATGATGATGTGGGGAAGGAGGATGATGATGATGATGATGATGATGATGATGTTAAGCAGAAAAAATGACGACGACGACGACGACGATGATGATGATGATAATGAGCATCATCATGACGATGATGATGACGATGATGATGATGAGGAGGAGGAGGAAAAATGATGATGATGATGATGATGATGATGGTGGTGGTGGTGGTGATGATGATGATGATGATGATGATTCTGATGTCGATGTCGATGTCGTATCGATGATGATGATGATGATGATGATGATGATGATGATGATGATGATGATGATGATGATGATGATGACGATAGTGCGGAAGATGAAGTGGAGGATGACAAGGTGGAGGATGATGATGTAGAGAAGGAGGAGGAGGAGGAGGAGGATGTTGAGGAGGAAAAATGACAATGATGATGATGATGATGATGATTATGATGATGATGAGGAGGAGGAGGAGGAAAAATGATAATGATGATGATGATGGTGGTGGTGATGATGATGATGATGAGGATGAGGATGAGGGTGTTAATGCGGAAGATGAAGTGGAGGATGAAAAGGTGGGGGATGATGATGTAGAGAAGGAGGAAGATGATGTTGAGGAGGATGACGTTGAGGAGGAAGGCCGATCCCAAGACCGGGACCCACACTTTGCGCGAGCCTGCGCAATCGAAATGCATGTCAACATTTCAGAAGAGCCACTTTATACGGAAATTTACAGGAAAAATGTTGTGCCCCAGATTGAGTCCAGAACGCGGACACACATTTTGTGCGAGCCTGCGCAGTCGAAATGCACTTCAACATTTCAGAAGACCCGCTTTATACGGAAATTTCCAGGAAAAATGCCACGCCCAAAAACCGCGGCGCAGACTTTGTGCGAGCCTGCGCAGTCGAAATGCACTTCAACATTTCACAAGAGCAACTTTATACGGAAATTTACAGGAAAAATGCTGTTCCCAGAACCTAGGACCACACTTTGTGCGAGCCTGCGCAGTCGAAATGCACTTCAACATTTCACAAGAGCAACTTTATACGGAAATTTACAGGAAAAAGGCGCGAGACAGAGTGAGCACCTGATCAAGCACCGGCCTTTACACTTACCGTAAGAACCCCTCAGTGTGGAGACAGTGTGTAAATGCAGTGTGGACACAATGTTTGGGGAAAAAAAGAAGAAACAATGTGTGGCTACACTCCATCCAGCAGCGGAGCAAAAGGGAGGTCTGTGGAGGCTCCAAGGCCAAGGCTCCCAAGGCTCCCATGCTGAGTTGCGCACTTTTTGGAGAGTTTGGGGCACAAAGCAGGCACCAAATGGATCTCGTTTGAGGAGTAAAGGCTGCACCAGAAAGGTAAAACTTTGCTGCAAATGTTTGCTGTCAAAGCTGTGTGCGATGATGGTGATCACTGCTGGTTTCACCTCCCAGAAGATAAAACATAAGGTTTCTCCCTTCTCCGTGCATGTTTGCAGATAGAAATCCAGAAATCCACAGTACGCCCTCGACTCAGGATATCAACTCAAACTCAACCATTGTTCACCCGGTTTCACCGTCTTCCCCGCTTCAAACCCTTCTCCCGCACTGAAAATTTCTTCGCCCAGGAACCGTCTTGAGAGCCAAAGCGCCTCCCATACCAAAGCCACCCAGCAAGATGCGATGCCGTGGCAGACCTTCCACCTGTGGATCTTTGTGATGAAGAGGGCTACGAACTAAACACGGGTCTTTAAAGATCCCAATATGAAAATGTTCCGTGGATATGCATTTGTTGTCATATCTTGTGGATTATAGCCAATAGAAGAGTCACCATTTCTCTGACTGGGGATATCACCCATTATATAAACCTGGTGCTTGTGAACTGTTCCACTTTATTTTGGGTGGATCATTGGGCTGATTTTGTTAGGAACAGTTGCATACATTTGCAGGAAACCATGTTTTTTGCTATACATAGGGGGCCTCACCAAAACTGATCATGTAAACCCCAGAGTAACAAACCCTGGCCAATCAATTTGGGGCTTACCACAAAAGTGATTTCATGAATTCTGAAGCCTAATCATCCTGGGTTACGTAAACTCTCAGAAACGTACCCCGGACTCAAAACTTTGAGTCAATTGTGAAGGATGAGCTGGCGGAACAAGTCCGCTAAGTGCTTAAGTCATGCCATGGGCAACATTTGCTTGGGTGTGTCTAAGGGGATAATATTTGTTTTCTGGCTAGAAAATCATTGAGAACATGGTTTTTCTTAACCATAAGAGTGTGGGATACTCTCCAAACGAGCCCAGCCCATGTTGACTCTCCGGGGGACGACTGCCGTTGGCACCGGATGAGCTGGTCCCCAATGTTTGATCATGTTGTGGTGATTAAATACCCGCATTGTCCCACATCTTTCCTGCTGAAAAAACACCATGTTGAATAGGTACAGTAAATCCACTATGTCTATGGCCATTTTTAATAGCTTTCTAACATAACCAGAGGGTATATAGATATATGCACCATAAAGCCATCCGATAGGCCAAGGCCCCATGATTGGCAAAGCCCCATGTAAGCCCATCATGATCATCCACCGAATCAATGGTCTCCCAACAAGGGTTTTGAACAGTCCTCATGTTTATTTCATCAACCAGGGATTTATGTGCTTTTTTTCAAGGTTTCCCACCGAAGGGGGTGATGTTTCAAAAAGAAATATGACCCAGGGATTATAAGTCCCTATGGCATAACCAACCAACCAGGATCATGTTCATGTAGTTGGGTTGATAATTGTTACCTTTTCCCTATTCTAAGCTTAGAAAATAGACCATTCTACCATCAATCTCCATGAATGTTAATATGTGTTAATAGCATTTATACATAATACCATTCATTTTATACCATTATACATCATTAATACCATTTAATTTTAATATACCATTATCCCATCAATGTCCATTAAGACCATGATGATTATACCACTAATCTCCATTCATTCTTACTTCATATACCAGAAAATAATCCGTTGCCCTCTGGTTATTTAACATAGCCATGGAAGCCATAGCCGAAATAGATTCGATGTTCCCAGCTAGAAACCTCCATTTATGGTTGGGATTTTCCATGGCGAACTGTTAGTCATAACCAGATGGCATATATACTTATATCCCATTAATCACCATTAACTATCATTATTAACCACTATTAAATCCCAGTAATCACCATTAACTATCATTATTAACCACTATTAAATCCCATTAATCACCATTATATCCCAGTAATCATTTTTACCCTCTGGTACTTTAACGTAGCTATTGGAAATGGCCATTTATAGTGAGTTTTCCCATTAAAAATGGTCATTTTCCATAGCTTTTTGTATGTTTACTAGAGGGTAACCAGCTCATTTCACCGAGAACTCGGGCCTCCAGAGCTTTGACCATCGCCTCAATGCGCTGCACGGCTCTCTGCACGTCCTCGGGCTCCTGCAGTGGTGGCGGTCCCAGGAATCCGTGGTTTTTATGGTGACTTTCCATGGGGTTTTTATGGTGACTTAAACCATTAAACCATGGAAAGTCACCATATATAAACCTCTATTTGGGATGGCCTGGACCTGAGTTCACCATTTCGATCTTTTTGTTGGGGTATCACATCATCCCAGCATTTTGTTTCACAACCTCCAATATGGGTTTGTCTGAAAATGTTGTGTACCCCTAAACCCAATGGTTATATAATGATCATTATCCCGTTTTTAAATGGCTATTTCATTGGGAATATACCCTATTTTCAGACAAACCCATATACAAAAAAACGATGTTTTGGTGACTTTCCATGGGTTTTTTAATTGTAACTTCATAGGAATCAAAAATAGGATCTAATGGGATTTACTGGGATATACCTTCTGGTAATGAACCATGTTCAATAGCTTTTTGTATGTTTACCAGAGGGTAGTTGCTGCTTAGTAACCATGGTTCACCCATTTCTAAATGGGATAATCCCACTGAGGGACTTAAATACTCACCAGGCTTAGGAACCACGTACAATTTCGTAGTTCCAAGGATGTCAAACGGATAATTCGCGTCCAACATCAAGTTGAAGATCACCTAGATCCTGTAGGATATGCACTGGGATCGACCACCAGAGCCGAAGCTGTGCCAAATCTGTCCTCATCCTTTCGCGGTCGATCAGGAACCCCACGCACTCTTCGGCAAATGGGATACTCCTGGCTCAAACTCGACCAAGATCAACCCAGGGTGGACACTAAAATTGGGCATAGCCATGCATAGCCCAGTTTCCATGGCTATTTAAGAAGCTCAAAAATGGTTGTTGAGGAGGGAAATCTTGTTCTTTCCTATCAGTCGTTTGGATTGGACAACTGGCCCCAGACCGGATGGGAGCACACCATCCCCCGTAGCATGCGCTGAAAATTGGTCACTCCCGGACTTTGTTGAAGGCAATATCTACAGGGAACACCTTTTTTTAAATGTAAAACATTGTAAAACCATGGGTTCCTCTCAAATCTACCATTGAAACAATGCATTGAAACCTCGACATTGCTTGAAGTTTCCATCATTCCAATCCCCTAGAATCATCCCATGAAATTCCAATTGATTCCTATAACATCCCTAAAAAAAAAAACATGAAATTCCCATTCAAAATATTCAAAGCATAGAAATCCCCATCGAATTCGCTAAGGTCAGTGTTTTTCACGGTCACCTTGACGTCGAACCACTGCAGGACCAGCGAGTGGCCCCGAATGCTGCTGGGCTGCATTGGCGCGCGCGGCCTAGATCTGGATTTGGGGCATTTTCTGATGGGAAAACGATGGAAAGATGGGAAGATCCTATGGAAAAACCCATGGAAAGACCCATGGGAAAGGTCCAAGTCACTGATTTGGATAGGACCCCCCGAAGGTGACCCACCAATGGTAGCACCTTGAGATTCGCCCTGGAAAAAAATCATGGGTTTAACAAACCCTTGGCAAACTCATATTGATCCCCTGTTTTGATGTTTGAGAAACCCTACATATGTTTCCAATCCATGGCAGTTCCCCCAAATCATCCATGTTCATCGGATTTTCCATGAAATCAACCAGCTATTGGGGTACCCCCAAAATATTTCAGGAAACCCCAGATTTAAGACCCCGGTTTCAACAGAGAAAATTGATTTTAGCAAAAAAAAATATAATAATAAATAACCAAAAAACAACCCGACAGGAAGAATCACCAGAAAAAATAAATAAATAATAATAAAAGCAAAACCTGGATGTTCCTCTGTTTTTTTTGTGTTTTTTTGTTGGTGGTGTGTTTTTTTTTGGTCTTGTTTTTTATTTGCTCTGGGTTTTGTTTTTTGTTTTCTATGAAACACGAGAAATTCTCTGTGCTGTTGGGCTCTCAACGATGGTCTGCTGAACTCCCCACTGCTGTCCCGGGCCACAGCCATCGCACACGCCCTGCACTGGGGATCTCCAGATCTCCAAACATCATCTGCTGCATGGCCTTGCCAGAATCCCAGGGAGAAAGTCAGTAATAACCATAGTTCAGAAATGTGTTTTTTTTAATGGGCTATAAGTTAAAACCTATTGAGTTACCATAGTTGGGAGAATAAACATCCATGGGCCGGCTATGGAAAATATGATTTCATCAAAGTTCTCTGGGTTATAACCATAATTAATCAAAGGAAGTTGGGAAGCAATACTTCCGTGTTACGGACAAATAGAATTGTGAGACTTGACATTGATGAAGGGCGGTGTGAGACTTGACATCACATAACAACACATCACAAAAGAATAAGAGGCTATGACACAGGGGTGGTGACGAAGGGCAGTGGTGACCTAGGGAAATGGTGATGAAGGGAAGTGGTGAGGAAGGGAAGTGGTGAAGAAGGGAAGTGGTGACGAAGGGAAGTGGTGACTCTTGTGTTGGGGAGGAAGCCGGAGCACGAAACCTTGTATTTTTCCGTGTAAAGTGGCTGCAGGCGGCGATGAAAGGTACCTACTGTGTGCGGCGGGTGCGGCTGCGGTCGTTTTGGTTCCTCCTCTCTGTTCTGCAACGAGTGGTTGTTCCTGTGTGCGTAGTTGCATGCGTTTCTTGAATCTGTGGTTGCAGATCGCATTGGAATGGCTGCATGAATGTTGCATGGGCTATGTTTTGGGGAGGAAGCCGGAGCACGAAACCTTGCATTTTTCCGTGTAAAGTGGCTACAGGCGGCGATGAGAGGTACCTCCTGTGTGCGGCGGGTGCGGCGGTCGTTTTGGTTCTTCCTCTGTGTTCTGCAACGAGTGGCTGTTCCTGTGTGCGTAGTTCTATGCGTTTCTTGAATCTGTGGTTGCAGATCGCATTGGAATGGCTGCATGAATGTTGCATGGGCTATGTTTTGGGGAGGAAGCCGGAGCACGAAACCTTGTATTTTTCCGTGTAAAGTGGCTGCAGGCGGCGATGAAAGGTAACTCCTGTGTGCGGCGGGTGCGGCTGCGGTCGTTTTGGTTCCTCCTCTGTGTTCTGCAACGAGTGGTTGTTCCTGTGTGCGTAGTTCTATGCGTTTCTTCAATCTGTGGTTGCAAATCGCATTGGAATGGCTGCATGATTGTCGTCATCTGATGTTGCCACGTGCGTAATACGTGCAGGTTTGCGACGTGATGCTGCAAAACGCATTGTGATGGCTGCGTCAGGGTTGCTTGGCACCGCGGCTGCATGCGTAATACTATTCTCTTTAGCAGCTGGACATCATAAATCGTATTGGAGTGGTTGCAGATTTTCTCAATTTTGGCGCTAGCAAATTTCCTTTTAAAGTCCTTTTAAAAAGTGTTTCAAAATCGTCTTTTTTTCGCTTTGGCGTCGAGATCCGGTGTTGGAGCTGCAATTTCTGCTGTGATTATGTACAAGAAAGCTTCTCTGTGTAAAAACTTGTTTTTGTAAAAGCTTGCTGTGTGTAAAAGATTTTGTGTGTAAAAGCTTGCTGTGTGTAAAAGCTTCTCTGTGTGTAAAAGCGTCTCTGTGTAAAAGTTTCTGTGTGCGTAAACGCTTGCCATGTGTAAAAGCACTGCGTGTAAGTGTTCTGTGTGTAAACGCTTGCTGTGTGTGAAAGCTTGTTGTGTGTAAAAGCGTCTCTGTGTGTAAAAGCTTCTCTGTTTAAAAAGCTTGCGGTGTGTGTAAACGCTTGCCATGTATAAAAGCACTGTGTGTAAGTGTTCTGTGTGTAAACGCTTGTTGCGTGTGAAAGCTTGCTGTGCATAAAAGCTTCTGGGAAGTGCTTTGTGCAAGCTTTGTAGTACAATGTAGTACTGGGGAGGCTTTTTGCAAGCTTTGTAGTACAAAGTAGTACTGGAAAGTGCTTCGTGCAAGCTTTGTAGTACAAACTAGTACTGGAACATGCCTTGTGCAAGCTTTGTAGTACACAGTAGTACTGGGAAGTGCTTTGCGCAAGCTTTGTAAAAGAATGTAGCACTGGGAAGTGCTTTGTGCAAGCTTTGTAGTACAAAGTAGTACTGGGAAGTACTTTGTGCAAGCTTTCTAGTACAAAGTAGTACTTGGAACGTTCTTTGTGCAAGCATTGTAGTACAAAGTAGTACTGGAACGTGCCTTGTGCAAGCTTTGTCGTACAAAGTATTACTGGGAAGTACTTTTTGCAAGCTTTGTAGTACAAAGTAGTACTGGGAAGTAGTTTCTGCAAGCTTTGTAGTACAAAGTAGTACTGGAAAGTGCTTTGTGCAAGCTTTGTAGTACAAAGTAGTACTGGAACATGCCTTGTGCAAGCTTTGTAGTACACAGTAGTACTGGGAAGTAGTTTGTGCAAGCTTTGTATTACAAAGTAGTACTGGGACGTGCTTTGTGCAAGCTTTGTAGTACAAAGTAGTACTGGGAAGTACTTTGTGCAAGCTTTGTAGTACAAAGTAGTACTGGAACGTGCCTTGTGCAAGCTTTGTCGTACAAAGTAGTACTGGGAAGTACTTTTTGCAAGCTTTGTAATTCAAAGTAGGAAGTTGTTGATAATTGTAGTTAGTTTATCCGCTTTAGAAATGGAATAAGCCTCCTAGGCGGGAGACTTATAATGACTGTTATACTAACTAACCACTTACTAAGTTAAGTTGGATGATCCACCAAATATGGCATACCTCGGGTACCTAGAGAGATAGGGACATCACGGGAGATCATGGGTTATAACTAACGACCAATTAGATGATATGTTTTTTGGAGGGTCAATGGACTGGCGGGGAAATCTCGATTAAAAACCTGAATTTTCCAAAGGGAAGGGTTTCGTGCAGATGTCCCCGTCATCCAAACCTGGGATTTGTGTGGCAAAAAAAAGATGGTATGGGAAACAAAATGTTGAAGTTGCAGCACGAATGCAGTCAAGTCTTAGTATAAGTGGCTAATAACCATAGTTAGTTCACCCACTTATAAATGGAATAAACCCTGCAGTCAAGTTTGCCTTTCTTTACCCTTGTTGCTCATGCTTGTTGCACCAGAACCCCACTAGTGATTGGCACCCAATTCTTCCGAGAAGACCCAGGGGCATTCTGTCAAAGCCGCAGACCCAACCCAATAACAAACAGTGCCCAATTCTACCATGTGGTTTCCACATAGATCCTAAAGTTCTTTGGTTTACCAAACGATCCACCCTGAAAATCTATGGTTATTGTGATTGCTGTATATAACTACTACTATTACTTCTGTTACTAGTGTGACTTCCTGTATCACTACTACCACCATCATGACTATCATTACCAAAGACAATTATTCTTACTATATAATTACTATCAATACTTTGTACATCGTTGCTACATTGTGTCACTATTGGAGGTATCCAACAATATGGCTACCCCAAACCATTGCTGTTCCGATTGAGTACAATTCATTTTGGAGGATAATTTGGGCTATCCCCATGACTTTGGACAGCTCCATTGAAAAAAACAAAACCTAGCCGTCCTTAGTCCTTTCACCAGGGCCCAACTTGGCCACAGCTACGGCGCACCGGGCGGCCTCCGACTCACCTTGATGATGGAGCCAAATCACGGCCGTGTCCGCCTGTGACGGTTTGTCAGCAACGCGACGGCAGATGTTTGGTGACAAAAATTCAAAATCCCCCACTTATATAGTTCGATGATTTTCTCAGCTATAAATATCTATAGGGGATTTTCCATTGCCATGTTTGATTGCCAAAGGGTAAGATAATTGGGATGAATTTGGGATGTTACCACCGTTACCACATATAATTGGAAGTGTAGTAAAGGTTCCGCAGATCAACTGCGGCTCGTTAGCCAACGAGAATATGGAATTCGAGCAACAAAAGGAGCGATGAAACTGGTGACCAGCTACAATTGGGGATACCGCTGAAGACAGTGGGAAAATGCCTGAAATCTGATTGTCTATCTTTTGGATAACAAAAAACACACGACGTCACACACACCTCAAAATCAATCAAATACGGCAAGTCGGATGTTCTTCAACTAACCCAAATTCAGCACGTCAAAAATCAACCACTTGCCTGGCTTTGTCCCATTGGTCCAAATTCAGCTTAAGAATCTCCCCATTTCCGGATGCTGAATCCACATTTTGAACGTGAATCCCCATTTTTCATGAAAAAAACTCCCCTGTTTTCATGGTTAAATCCCATGTTTTCAAAGAAATCCTAGTACTGATGGGCCAAATCCCATTATTGATGGTCCGTTACAGTAGATAAGTCCTAGTGTTCATGGTGCAATCACCATTTTTCACGATGAACTTCCCTTATTTCACGATCAACTCCCCTTTTCTCATGGTTAAATCAAATGTTTTCATGGTTAACTCACTATGTTTTATGGTAAAATCACCATGTTTCACCATGTTTCATGGTTGAATCACCATGTTTTCATGGTTAACTCATGTTAACTCACCATCAAAATCACCATTTTCATGCTTCACTCAGGTGGAAAAATCCCCATGGCCCATCACCATTTCTTCATGGTGAACTCCGCCGATTTAAAAAATGGGATCTACCAGGCCCCGCCGTATCGATACGGCCTCCTGTCCAGGAGCAGCTCGCCATAGATCGGCCACTTCTTTGGCGGCGCGATCCTACCGATGAGGACGGTGATATGAAGATGTTTGATTAACAATGGTTAATAATTGTTCATAATCTATGTTGATAATACTTAAGAGTGAATAAGAGTGAACAATTGTTAATAATTGTTCATAATCTATGTTGATAATACTTAAGAGTGAATAATAGTGAACAATGGTTAATAATTGTTCATAATCTATGTTGATAATACTTAAGAGTGAATAATAGTGAACAATGGTTAATAATTGTTCATAATCTATGTTGATAATACTTAAGAGTGAATAAGAGTGAACAATGGTTAATAATTGTTCATAATCTATGTTGATAATACTTAAGAGTGAATAATAGTGAACAATGGTTAATAATTGTTCATAATCTATGTTGATAATACTTAAGAGTGAATAAGAGTGAACAATGGTTAATAATTGTTCATAATCTATGTTGATAATACTTAGGAGTGAATAATAGTGAACAATGGCTCATAATTGTTCATAATCTATGTTGATAATACTTAGGAGTGAATAAGAGTGAACAATGGTTAATAATTGTTCATAATCTATGTTGATAATACTTAAGAGTGAATAATAGTGAACAATGGTTAATAATTGTTCATAATCTATGTTGATAATACTTAAGAGTGAATAATAGTGAACAATGGTTAATAATTGTTCATAATCTATGTTGATAATACTTAAGAGTGAATAAGAGTGAACAATGGTTAATAATTGTTCATAATCTATGTTGATAATACTTAAGAGTGAATAAGAGTGAACAATGGTTAATAATTGTTCATAATCTATGTTGATAATACTTAAGAGTGAATAAGAGTGAACAATGGTTAATAATTGTTCATAATCTATGTTGATAATACTTAAGAGTGAATAATAGTGAACAATGGTTAATAATTGTTCATAATCTATGTTGATAATACTTAAGAGTGAATAAGAGTGAACAATGGTTAATAATTGTTCATAATCTATGTTGATAATACTTAAGAGTGAATAATAGTGAACAATGGTTAATAATTGTTCATAATCTATGTTGATAATACTTAAGAGTGAATAATAGTGAACAATGGTTAATAATTGTTCATAATCTATGTTGATAATACTTAAGAGTGAATAATAGTGAACAATGGTTAATAATTGTTCATAATCTATGTTGATAATACTTAAGAGTGAATAAGAGTGAACAATGGTTAATAATTGTTCATAATCTATGTTGATAATACTTAAGAGTGAATAAGAGTGAACAATGGTTAATAATTGTTCATAATCTATGTTGATAATACTTAAGAGTGAATAAGAGTGAACAATGGTTAATAATGGTTCATAATCTATGTTGATAATACTTAAGAGTGAATAAGAGTGAACAATGGTTAATAATTGTTCATAATCTATGTTGATAATACTTAAGAGTGAATAATAGTGAACAATGGTTAATAATTGTTCATAATCTATGGTGATAATACTTAAGAGTGAATAATAGTGAACAATGGTTAATAATTGTTCATAATCTATGGTGATAATACTTAAGAGTGAATAATAGTGAACAATGGTTA